TGAATGGATTGTAAAGTTTAGAAGATTGGGTGTCCGATTTCAAAATTAAAAGTGCACACCCCACGCGGGAGGAGGGGGGGGAGGGGATGGACTTTTCATGCAATATGTGCAGTGCGAGTGTCTCACTCACCGCTCGTCGTCTGCTTCATGGGCCGCAGACAACTCCCCCAGCTGTTCGACCTCACTGGGCCGGCAGGCTGCTGCCCCCGCGACTCCCAATCCAGTCGGAAGGGACTACCTATACATTTGTCGACAAATTTTTCCCCAAAAATTTGACAGATGTAATTATAGTACAATCGTAGTGTAATTACACTGTAACTTATATGTAATTACACTGTAACTTGCATGTAACTACAGTGTAACTTATATGTAAGTTTCACATAATTTTGAATCGTTGGATCTATTACAAGATTTGTTTTGGTGAGGAAGAAAACAAATCATAGCACACACATATGTGAAAGAATTTGTTCCCACGACCTCCATTTTACCGAAATAACATGTAACGGAGAGATTTTTGAAAGTTACATACAAGTTACACTATAGTTACAGTGTAACTACATGCAAGTTACAGTGTAATTACACTACGATTGTACTGTAATTACATCTGTCAAATTTTGGGGGAAAAATTTGTCGACAAATATATAGCAAAATCGAGTCGGAATGTGTTCGGCCACACGCATTTATTTTTAGAGAACAACAACGCAGTGGGCCAAGGCCACGCATGGATGTTGCCTTCCCATCTGCTCCGCTCCGTGTCCACAGGAGCGCATGTACCTGCACGCCATGACATCATGCCAGCCCACAAGAAAGCAAAATGGGTCAGTATTTAAGGGGGGAATAAGTTCATTTGAGGTCCCTTAACTTGTCAACGAATCCGATTTTCGTCCCTCAACCTGAAAACCAGACACAACGAGTCCCTCAACTATCAAAACCAGTGCAGATTAGGTCTCTCGGCGGTTTTGGCTGACGTGGCGCCCACGTAGCTAATTTAACTCGGGTCTTAATCTAACGTGGCATTGACGTGGCGCTTATGTAGCAATTCAATTTGAAAAAATAATAAAACCAGTGGGACCCACATGTCAGTCTCACATAGAAAATAATAAAAAAATATGGGACCCACGTGGGCCCCGCATGTCAGTCCAACTCACCCTCTTCTTTTTCCTCCTCTCTCTCCCCATCTCCCCTCTCTTCATCTCTCCTCTCTCTTCTCTGCCAACGGGCGGCGGGAAGACGGGCGGGCGACTAGCGGGGAGAAGGGGCGGCGCCGGCAGCCGATGGGGATATGGCGCTCCGGGACAGGCGGCGACCGGCGGGGAGAATGGGCACGAGGACTGGCAGCGACCGACGGGGAGAAGGGGCGCCGAGATAGGCGGCGGCCAATGGGGAGGACGACCGACGAGCAGCGGCAGGCGGGGAGAAGGGCGGCGCACCTCACCATCGCGGCCCCCGCCCTCATGTCAATCCAATCCACCGCTGCGCCGGCCTTCCCAATCCACCGCCGCCCCGTGAAGCTCCCCTTCCCTCCCTCCTCTGCCCGGCGCCGCCCCCGATTCCTCCCCCATACGCCACTTCCTGGCCGCGCACTGCCGAGCCACCGCGCCCGGCCGATGCTGTTGACGCCGCGCCGACCTCTCCGTTCCACCCCGCGCTGATCTCACCTCCATCCCCGCCACCACCGAGCTCCCCGCCGCCGCCAGCCCTTCCCCAAACCCACCGCCGCCCATGGAGCTCCCTTCGCCTTCCTCCCCTTCATTGCCGGTGCCACGTCGCCGCGCCAAACTGCCTCCGTACGCCGCGCCTGGCTGTGCCGCTCCCTCCTCTCCCGCCGGCAGCCGGCCACCGCGTGCCGCTGCCTCTCCGTCGCCGGGAGAGAGGAGAGGAGAGATAGATGAAGAGGGGAGATGGGGAGAGAGGAGGGTGAGTTGGACTGACATGTGGGGCCCACGTGGGTCCCACTATTTTTTTTTATTATTTTATGTGTGAGACTGACATGCGGGTCCCACGTGGGTCCCACATTTTTTATTATTTTCTATGTGAGACTGACATGTGGGTCCCACTGGTTTTATTATTTTTTCGAATTGAATTGCCACATAAGCGCCACGTCAATGCCACGTCAGATGAAGACCGAGTCAAATTAGCCACGTAGGCGCCACGTCAGCCAAAACCGCCGAGGGACCTAATCTGCACTGGTTTTGATAGTTGAGAGACTCGTTGTGTCTGGTTTTCAGGTTGAGGGACGAAAATCGGATTCGTTGACAAGTTAAATGAACTTATTCCTTTAAGGGGTGATATCGTGCCAGCCCAAAAAAAAAAGCGAAATGGGTTATCTGTTATCCTATTTTACAGTTTGTTTTTGTTCATTTGAATTAGCATATGTTACATCTGATTCTACATTACTATATTTTGGAAAGGAGGTAATATAGATTTGGAAAGAAAAACTGACTTGATGAGAGCAACTTAAGTAGTACGTGCTGATGTTAAAGACGGAAGAGACAAAAGAAAAAGAAAAAAAAGAAAGAAAGGGAGGGAGTATACAGGCTAACAGGCATACTGCAATGGCGATACCTGGCGCTGTCTGCCCCATGGGCCGGCCCAGATAAGCTTCGCACCTCTCCTGCTGCGTCACTGGAACGATGGGCTGCTCCAACACCAATCGGGATGTATTCCGCGAAATGGACCTAGTATAGATTGCGCTGGCAAATGCCACGGGTTTCCTGCCTCGCTGGAGCAACACCCCCCGAACTATCTGTCGGAATGCAACCCAGATGTTTAGGAAATCAAAAGAAGCACACTGAGTTCATGGACATGGAGATGATTAATGTGGAGGAACCACTGTGCAGGAAAAGATTTGCTAGAAGAGTGAGATAATGGGTAATGAAAACTATCAGCAGGGGAACTTTTGTATCAACATCAGCGAGAGGGAGGCGGGGGGATAATAGGGGTTTGAAATGGGGGTGCTAATTCCTGCTGTTGTTTGATTTGGCTGCAGATTGTCTTGCTTATATGATGGATAAAGCTAAACAAGGAGGTCTGATAAAGGGGTAATTTCTCATTGCAGATGACATGTTATGATGACCTAAGGATAAGGAATTTGGATGTTTGGGCATCATCAACACTAATGAGGCATTACTTATAAGTGGGTGTGGAGGATCTACGATGCTGATGATCAGGATATTTCCTGCAGCTTGTTGAGAAAGAAGTATTCGAACAACAGAGCTTTGTCTTATATTGCTATGATAATAGAGGGTCTCAGATCTGGAGAAGTAACATGAAATTAGGCATCAGTTTGGATTGGGGGCTATGCATTTGGTGCCAAGAATAAGGAGGGAAAGCTAAGTTTACCTCGACAATAACACCAAGGAGGAGGAGGAGGAGGAGGTTGTTTCCGTTGTCTCTGCCGTGATCAAGCAGAGGCGTTGGCCTGCGGTGCCAGTTTCGGAAGCCAAACTCCAGGATGACGAGGAAGATAATGGCCTCCCACTTGACACGGATCGAGGCGCAAAATATCCCAACCCTTATAGCCTGTCCCATAATAACAACAGAGCTACTACGGGAATGGCGCCCGATCGGCTCAGCGGAGGCGGCAGCGCGAGGCGTAAGAGAAGATCACAATGTTGATGCCATACCTGACTTGAGGAAGTTGTAGGAGCCGATGGGATCGCAGAATCGTCTCCAGTGAAGAAAGTGAAGAAGAGCACCGAATTGTGGCTTATATTGGGAGAAAACCTTAGCTTTGGGTTTTTTAGCCTGGCTTTAGGTTTTTGTGCATTGAAGGTGAGTTTCTCTCACTTACTTTCCCTCCTTTAGTGTAGGTCTCTGACGTATTGGATCATCTGGGCCCGCCCAGCATATCAGTGATCCATGTCAGAAAGAAGTAATCGAGTGAAGGTACCTGGACTTATCAGCGGGAGATATCAGTTATCACTATCGGTATCACTATGGTAGGTAACTCGTGGAATATGGACTCAAACTTTCAAAGCTTTTGCATTTTGGATATCTCAGGTCCAACGGTACAAGACGAGATGGAAGAAAATTAGGTAGGACCTAGGTCCTTCCGAGATTAGAAAGACTTTGCTTCTCTATATGACACGTGTATAACACAAGCAGCCAACCTCCGACTCCTTTCGTCTCAGACTCTCAGGCTAAATTTCTCGCTCTTGGCTGCTAAGCCAGGGAACAGCGGCAAGCCGGCGTGCTCTGGCCGGGGCGATGCACAGGCAACCCCAACGCGCCGCGCAGTCGGCTTAGATAAGCACATTGCACGTGGCTGTGGAAGTTCTGTGGGAATCAATCTTGTGCGCCACAGTGTCGTCCTCGATTTCCAGCAGATCCAGCTCTTAGTTCTTGCAATTGATCATGTCCATGGCATAAGATTGAACCAGCCAATTAATTGCTGTGCTTTGAGATGGAAAGCACGGCCGCCGGCCGGTGTACAAGCCAACTCAGTGGCCTTGGCTTTTGGGCTTCTGGTTGTTGATAAGCAGGTTATGCCGTTCAAGAACCGTCCCTCGTCAGCGAACTTCATGGCCCAAATCGAATCGAATCAAATGCCCAGATTGATTCCCCTTCAAATCAAATCGAATCAAATGCAATCCAAGATGTATAGCCCAATGATCCATTAATCGTAAGAAGAGGGATTCATGGCGGACAGTCCCCCGTGGAGCTTTGGCGGCAACCTCGTAGAAGAGGAGAGAGGAAAATTTGGCCAGACGAAGGAGATGAAGTACTTGCATTGAGATTGGTGTTATACACGCGTCAGATAGGGAGCGAAGTCTTTTTGATATAGGAAGGACTAGGGTACTGTTTGATTCAACTTAGGATTATTATAATCTAGATTATTAGGAGTAAACTGAAACAAACAGATAGCTTTAGATTATTATAATCTATAAGCTAGATTACTATAAAGGTGCTTTTTTAGATTATTGGGTGGCTAACAACTAACAAACAGATAATAATATAGAGAAACAAATAGCTAGCAGCTTATTTTATATTGTCTTATTATAATACAGTTTATAATAATCTAATTTTATAATTTAGATTATAATAATCTTAATCTGAAACAAATAGGTCCTTGAGTCACTTGTAATTTTCTTCGAGATGGGAGCTGTTAGTTGCACTGAATTGAGAGGCAGCCAGCTGGGATTTTAGTCAGATGGGGTATTTGACTAGGTTTTACGAGTAAAGACCCCTCCCGCCGCCAGCTACATTGATTTGATCCCTCGTTCCCTCGCCGGAGTCTCCTGCCTTCTTCCGTCCTCAACAGCGGCGCCGCCTGAGATCCCGCTCTCCACCACGCCATTGCTCGCCGTCGTGGCGGCGGGCAGGAGTGGTCGGATGATGCCGAAGATGGAGGGCGGTCGGCGGCCGGATGACGGCCAAGACTGGAGGCGCGTGCAATGTGCATCGCCGGAATCGCGTTCAACAGCAACCGACGCTCCAGAGGCATCAGGCCTAGAAGTGACAACAGGTTCGCGAATCGTAAACCCTCGTCTCGGGTGTGCTTGCTGTATTCAATTTGAGGGGGTAACTGGGAATCACATAGTCAGGAAATGTATGAATTATTAAATTTTGTACAGCCTTAGAAAGTTCTGACCTTTATGGCTGAAATTACAGGAAGTTTAAGTTGATTATGGTGGATTTTCGATGAAATCACATAGATGGGATTGAAAGGTAGCAAATGCAGTAGGTTATAGCCGACTCGTTTTTGCTTAATTTCGATCCACTTCTCTAGATTATGCTTAAGTTTATAATATAAGCTTTACTGTTGTTAGTTTTCATGTTTCACGGTGCACAGGACAGTATGACACACACTCTCTTTTCAAAGGTTCTTAGCTTCATAATCAATCTGTCCAGTCATCTGTTCTCTTGAATTGTTTGATACATGTGCAGTGAAAAATCTTTATGGCTATGAGAATGTGCATACGGATGTTGTAATCTTCAGAAATGTTCAGATAGATGACCTGATGTGTTTCAAAAATCATGTGCTTTGTAAAGAACTGGTTTACTGTTTGCCTGTATCATTGAAAGAAACTGACTTCCTCTAGTCTGGTTTACTTAGTAGCGCCCCATCCTTCTTTTTTTTTTTAATTTTCACCAGGGGGGAGAGTTTCCCCACCTGAATTTTCATTGAAAGGGATTGTTAAAGTTACATGGGAGTAAGAAGAATAAAAGCAGTTACAGGGATGAAAGGGCAGAAGCGAAGCAACGCTTCCACTGTGAAACTATGGGACATACATCGCTTTTCATTCGTTCTGACCAGAGGGACGCATCTTGAATACATCGGCGAAGGATCCGCTGGAGGGAGGGGGGTTCTTTTCTGAATACCACATCGTGCCGGTGATTCCACAAACACCAAAAGCAAAGGAGGTAGAAGCACTTGAATTCTACCATTGGGATTATCGGAGGCGGCTTGAGCTGAAATAAGAGTTGTGCTGAGGGGATATTTGGTTGAATTCGGACCGCAGACCAGAAAGTTGAAGCAAAAGGACAGTGTAAGAAGAGGTGATCTTCGTCTTCATCCTAGCAGAGGCACAGCTCGCATGTAGCAGTTGACAATATTGTTTTCTTGTAGAGGTTTGCACATGTGGGCAGCCTGTTTTTTCCCATGAGCCAGGTGAAGAACTGCACTCTTGGCGGAGCTGCATTGTTCCAGATGAAATCCCAGTTGGCACAGTTAGGTAGATCGGAGGAGGAAAGGAATTGATATAGGGAGCTGGAGGACAAGATCTCTGAATGGCCATTTGGGGAGTAGATCCGCTGATCCATACCATCTGAGAGCTCCAGTTGTTGGATGATATTCTGCACTACTGCTAAGTCTTCTTGGGCAGCTGAGGAGAGACGAGGGGTGAGTCCCAGGGGGGCAATTCTGTACATTGGCAATTCTAATATGATCAACATGCTGCAGTGCCTGTGCTTCCATGAGGGGCTGTATCCCTGGCAGGCTGCCCCTGGCTTGTGAGCATCTGGCGGTCCGGCCATCTGGGCAAGCGGCAACAGGAAAGACAGTAATCAAGCAAAATAAGGTATGCAATGCAATGCAACATGTTACTTTTGAATGTTTGATTGATGATTCAACCTATTAGCATAGAGAAGAAAGCACCTTAAGGTATCTAAATTTTACACTAAAATTTTTGGTACCTTGAGGTACTTAGTACTTATTAAACCTTTAATATTGTTTGTCTATTAAATATGATCCCTAGCTCACAAGATGTCAGAAAAAACATTGTTCAACTATTACTCAAGCTGCAACAGTACTCCTACTCCAGAGAAAGATTAGAAGGCAAGGCTACCAAAATTGCCCACACCAATGTGCTGTGAAACATTGTGCAGGACTAATAGGAAAACCAAATAATTGAACCTGTCCTGTACAGCACCAAAACAAAAAACATGGTTTGGTATACATACTAAAAGAACAAATATCAGAAGTGTAGACACAAAAATATGAAACAGGATATAAAAAGGGTAATCACATGACAATGTTATATTGTTTTTTCTTCAACCATGTAACTATATGTACCTTTTAAAATTGTACATATACAGTTTTCCATCTTGATTAAATTATTCTATATTAGCAGCCTTGTTCTCATTAGTGACACAGAGATCATGGAAATACAAACAAAACATATAATTTCTTCTACTTCATAGTATCCTTTTAACTGATGTCGAGCCCATGGATGTTTTTAGTAATTACTTGGTATACTGTGTCCTAGATGAACCTTTGGCATGGAAGCCGAAGCACCTGCGGATCACACAAAGGTAGTCCTGGGCAAAAAGCAAGAGGCAGGTGCTCAAGGATATGCACAAAGAGCAGCTTCAGGCGCAGATCAATGGAAGGGCCTGTTTGGTACAGCTCCAACTCCTAAAATTAACTCCAGGAGTTGAGTCTGGAGTGGAGTTGTGGAGCTACCTAAACCCAGCTCCACAACTCTAGCACATTTTGTGAAAGAGCTCCACCTAACTCCACTCCCAGTTTTGATGGAGCTGAAACTGGAGCTGTGCCAAACAGGCCCGAATTATCCCTGTAACTGTAAAGGGTCATTGTCAGCTTGTACCGGTGGCTAGTAATTACAGGAATCAAAGTATCTGCAAAATGCCTGATTACAGGATGCAAATGCATTTTTCCAATCAGTACATGATGGCTAATATGTGTAAGCATTCTTAGTTTATTTGGTTAAAATTGAAACTGAACAATGACCTTCTAATTTAGCAGGTAGACATGTCTTTCGATTTTTGTTTTCAGTTCATATAAGGAACCTGGTACTGCCCAAGAATTACCTCATCAGCTGCTCCACAAGAGCAAGGCTATGGACATGTTTGCACAAATGTTACAGGTAGACACATAAAAAATGGAGCCATGGGCTAAGGAAGCGCATATCAGGCTGTTACACTCCTAAAATGGAGCCATGGGCTAAGGATGTGCATATCAGGGCTGTTGCACTCCTCTCTGATCAGATTTGTGGAGGAGTGGATAGGTTCTCATCTAGCTTGACTTCTCCCTAGTAAGTTAGTTCTTCCTTTTGGATGGTCTGTGAACTATATACATGGGTCGTGTTGTCTAATATGTGAATCATATTATTCCTTGCGGCTAGCAACATGAACACATTTTGTGATCAACTTTGGTGGTTTGGTTGATCACCCAAGTGCTGGTCATTTTGTCATTAATCATTATGGGGCACCAACATCTTTTGGATGGCCTGTGCTAGTTGAGGGTGAGAAAGTCACAGCATGCAGGTGTGGAGTTCATCTGATTGCCTCTTACAAAAATGCTTTTGTGAATGATGCTAAAACTTTTTTTTTTACATGTGCAGGTCAAGTGGATGTGGTGCTATTATTGGGTGATGTTGCTTTGTGATGCCCTGGGTTCCAGTTGTTGCTGCTGATCTACGGGATGCAGCTTGGGGTTGTATGCTGTGAGTAAATGATGCCGTGTGCATGTTGCCATAGCCCTGAAGTGATGTTGCTAGTGGAAATGCACTGTATGATGTTGGCTAGACATAAAACTAAACCTTCAGTTTAATGTGTGTTGTATCGATGAATGGTAAAATTTGGGCTGAGAATGAGGCCATGTGGTCGCCCGATGTTGCTAGCCTGGAGAGATGTGTGATTGTGAGATATTTAAGAATCTCTTAGTTATTGCTGAAAATTTGTGTCAATGTGTTGATGAATCTGTGAGAACATATTTATGAAACTGTGATTTGTGCTTGTGAATCTGATGTAGGAATCTGTGCTACTTGTTGAAATTTCAGACCATCTGCGGTTTTATTTCAGACCATGTCTGTTGAGTTATCGTTCTGTTGATTTTCAGGGATCACTCTGACATACTGATCACCCCACTTGATCACACATATTTCACATCCTGGTACAACCGATTCTAAACCGCTGAAATGCCACTTGCTCACAAGAGAAATCACATAATAACCATAGCATGCCCAGGATGTTTTAGCTTTGGTCAAAATCAAAATGTTTCAAATTTGACTAAGTTTATAAACAAATATAGTAATATACCAAATTAGTTTTTATTAAACTAATGATGAAATATATTTTTATAAGAAATTTATCTTGGGTCAAAGATATTACTATTTTTTTCTATAAATTTGATTAAACTTAAAACAGTTTGACTTTAACCAAAGTCAAAAGTCAAAGCATCTTGTAACCTGAAACGGAGGGAGTACCAAAAGCAAAAGCATGAACTTATTTACAATAAAAGAACTTGTTCTACAATTGCAAGTTTCAAAATTGTCATGCATTTTGCATGCACCAAGTTCAGTTCCCCATATTTCACCATCAGGTTCTATTGGCATTATAGAGATCATATCTTCTGCCCCTTGAAGATGCTCTCCCTAGCCGATTCACCATACAGGCATAGTGCTTCAGGTTAGGCTCAAGGGAGTATTCCTCCATTCTAGTGAACAACTTCTTACCCTCATCAACCCTCATCAACAAGTCCTTCATCGCAACAAGCAGACAGAATGGCAAGAAAAGTGAGGCTATTGGGCTTAATTTGCAGAAGCTGAAATGACAGTGACCAAAATTGCTGAGTTGGGTTTAAAATACCTTCAGTGAGCTTCTGGTCATACAGTACCAAAGTTGTGAGTGTGACAACATATGTTTTTGTTTTGACCGAACCAAATATTTTCGGTGCAAGATCATAATTTCCACTCTTTCCGTACATGATGATTAATGCATTTGCATCTGATGAATTTTCACCGATTAAGTGTTCGGTTAAATAACAATGTGCTGGTTGACCTAATCGTAGTCTGCCCAAACCTTAACAAGAAGAAATTATGGAAAACAAACTGTTGGTATCACATTCAACAGCCTCTCGGGCATTTCGTCGAACAGCCTCACGGCGCGTCGCGGACGCTGCGGTGCCTGGCGTACATGAAGACCAGCGACGACGCCACCGCGAGGGAACCAGCACCCTCCAGGATGACGAACTTGAAGTGGAATCCCCGCGTGGACGGAGGCTCCTGCAGCCTATAGCTAGGTAGGGGGCCGAGCTCGGAGCTCCGCGGCGGCAAGGACTGGGCGCCCGGCGGAGGAGTAGGCGGGGAAGAGATTGGCGGCGAAGTCGGGGCGCGTGGAGAGACCGGAGGTGACGGCGATGGCTCTCAGCGACGCAGTGATCGCTGCGCGCGCGGTGGCGTCGCCGGTGGCTTGGTCTCCAGGATCGTTCAGGTCCTTGATTCCAGCTTCCATGTTTGGGATCCGCGCCGCCGCCGCTTCTTCGCCAGGTCCCGAGGATGCCGCCGCCACTCGGCGTTGGGGCAGGCGGTGAGGAGAGCGCCGTCGGTGAGGAGGGCGGGGCGAGGATGCGCCACCGCCGCCCGCCATGACCGCTCCGAGGACGACGACCACGAGCACGAGCACGAGGACGCGCACGCCGCTCCACTCCAGAATCCGCGCCGCCGCCGTGGTCCTCTCGCGCCGCCGCCGTTGTCCTCCCACGCCGCCGCTCCAGATTCGCGCCACCGCCGTCCTCCTCGCTCCGCTTTCTCATTGCCGCCGAGAGATTCGCGGGGACGACGCGCGCCGCCGTGGGCGACGACGACGACGCCGCGTCGGTGGCGACGACGGCGACCTGTGCCGCCGCGCGCTCCGGCTGTGTCGGGTGGGTGGGAGTGAAAGTAGGAGAGGGAAAGGGGAAAGGAGAGAAAGGGGAAAGTGGAAGAGAGAATAGGTTGGGGTAGTTGTTTTGGGATCACCCGTAGTACCCTGCACTGTAAGATGTGTGGATTCGTTGTGTATCTATCCTATGTGGCATACGAGGTAACGCAAATGAGGTGCTGTGAATGGCCTAATCTCCCACATCTGGGTCTCCCGTCTCCGACGAGCACCACTAGAGAGGTGCCACCTCCTTGTCGGCGCTAGCCACAGCAAGTGTCCAATGCGGCAATGCTAGCCGCGGAGGGGGACTCTAAGATGGTCTGGGCTTCTTGGGGGGTGTGAGGCAACATATGTCATAGCTGGGACGGTCGACCCACCCTGCCTAATGGGTAGATCTGCCCCTGATTCTCTCTCTACCACGATCTCCGAGTGCATTTGGCGGGTCCAAATTTGATTGGAATCCGTGAAATTTGCTGAAAGTTTATTGCAAATGTAAATAGTTTGTCGAAAAATCTCCGTGAGACATCAGCATCCAGCAGGATATCAGCAAAACACTGGGCAGCGGTCGGAGGACCTGCTTTGCCTTCCTAGCAAGCCACAACGCGTGCACACATATAACATCAGGGATCCAGAATCAGAAGGCATCAGCTCCTACTTTGTAAAGAGACGAGAACAGCATGGCCTGATGATAGCCATCAATCTGGCCAATTGTACATCCACAGCCATCCAATAACACAGAGCATGCCAAAAACAGTTGCAATAGATGGTGAAAAGAGAAGAACAAATATGATGGGTGAGGCTAGATCGCCAGAGAACACATTGCAATGTTCACCAGTAACTAGCATTTCCATCCGAACCATCACGACGTATATATTCATAGAGAGTGATAAAAGTTCATCCCCAAGAAAGTAACTTTCAGCAGTGGTTTCTTGAGCATGTCACAGCCATGCTTCTTCAAAACTACCATTAGCATGGAGAAAAAGGGTGATCAAAGATTCAAAGTTCGTAATCCAACAGGAAAACATTAAACTAATAGCTAGGGCTGAAGTTAAAACTTCGATGTGATAATAACTGCAGTTCTATGATGCTAAGACATCTCAAAAAAAAAAACTGATGAACCGTTTCGTTCGCTTTTCCATCCCCACGGTTCATCTGGAGTACCTATCAAAGAATGGTGGAATCAATACGTTTTGTTCACTTCTCCATCCCACTTTTCCGTTTTAGGTTACAAGATATTTTAACTTTGGTCAAAGTCAAACTGTTTCAAATTTGATTAAGTTTGTAGAATAAAATAATAATATTTTCAACCAAAGATAAATTTATTATGAAAATATATTCAATTATTGATTTAATGAAACTAATTTGGTATTATAAATATTACTATATTTATCAATAAACTTAATCAAATTTGAAGCAGTTTGACTTGAACGAAAGTCAAAACGTCTTATAACCTGAAACGGAGAGAAACGGAGAGAGTACCTATTTACTAAGGAGTACTAGCTTTTTCTTACGCCTCAGCTGAAAAGGTGATGCACCAAGTAAGCTCTATTTCGCATTTCATACCACCGCAAATCTGCAACCAAGAAATTAGTTAATTTGCAACCAAAAGCTGCTACTTTCGTTTGCACGCGGCGAACTACGGCCCCATCTTTTCGCTTATACTTATACTTATCAACCAAAATTTGAATTTTCAATCTTAAATTTGAAGTTGATTTTGAAGTTTTTTTTATCAAGCTTATTTTCCAAGCTTAACTTTTAGATCGGTAAGAACACATTTATAAAAATTTTGTTCACAAATTATTTTTAATTTGTAAATATGCCGTTTGGATTATTCCCCGAAAAAACGAAACAATGGGGCCGCCGCAGATTCTCAAATCAAGGAGAGTGACTCCCCTAAGGGCAAGGGCAATAGAAGAGCCGATTGCTTACTCTAATTCTTATCCAACTCATTTAGAACTTGTTTTACAGTTGATGTATACAATAATAGTCTCTACAAGGCTCAACAATCCAGGCTTGGCCAACCAATGAAATTGGTTTTGCCTGGCCCATCAAGCATACCGGGCCATATGCATGCTGCGCTTAGGCCATGTGGGTCCCACTGATTGCATGGTAGCCTGTGCAAAACGGGCGCTCATGCAAGCGCCGGCTCACACCCTTCTCCTCGCATAGCGCGCCTCCACGTCAAATCACGCTGAGGTGGACAGGCTAATAGTAGATTATTGTACTTGCCCTAATTGGGTTTTTGGATGGAAATGCGCAAATTAAAGGACGTACCTGCGACAGATCATCTTCTTCTCATTGTGCTTGAGCGCGAGTGTGAGGAGGTTGGCCGCGGCGGCGGAGACGAATGGCGAGGCGAAGCGTGTGCTCCGTCTGGATGCCGTAGTCGGCCAGCGTCCGTCGATCATCCAGCTGCCTCCCGGCGTGCATCAGCCGCTGGTCGTCCGCCGGGATGCCTGCCGTACAACTCAAACCAAATTAACCCCCAAATTCATGGTACAAACTGGTAAATGGTAATCAAATTGGAATGTCCAGCGATTTGGCAAGAAATACACCAATCCCCCCATACAATTCTTGCTCTGAAGAAACACAAGTGGAAGCAAACTAATCCAATAACCTTATCGATCGTTCACTACCCAATCGGATAATTTTTTTTTTAAGAGAAAGGAAAGCTATGATTTTCATACCCTGAAATCCTCGAATCGGGACGGTTAAAGAAAAGGCGGAGCTGGACTATTCCGATAAGCGCGAGAGGAAATGCAGTTGGCTTTGCCGGCCACCGACGAGCAGGGCGAAGGGGAGGAGCTCAGCTAAGCGAGTTAATCAATTATATACCGTTCTTGTCGTGGATCTTGACCTTGACGTCGCCGATGGTGTCGCTGCCCTCGACCTCCAGCGTGATGCACTCGTCCAGCGTCCTCACGAAGATCTGCATCTCTCGCCGCCGGTCGTGGTGCTCGCCGGGGTAGAGTGCAGTGCAGTGCAGTGGCAGCGACCGCGGCGGACGTCGTGGTCGGGACTCGGGTCTCCACTAGTGGCAACGCTCCTTATAGGGAGGCGGAGCCCTAGTTCTCCAGTCTCTCCGCGTCGCTGGTTCTGATGGACCAGATGACATGTGGGCCGTCCGTTAAAGCCCAACCCATTTTCAACCCATCCGTTAAAGACCACCCCATTGCCTCGCCTCTCCGCCGTCAGAAAAAAAAAAAAGAGTACCTATACATCTCTCGAAAGATTTTTATGATTGTATCACACAGATTTTTAATCTTTGAATTAAAATCCGATAGATATAATAAAAAACAAAAAACAATTAAGAAACACCATAATGGACACTAAATTACCATATCCTTAAGAAAAAGACCAAATCCAATACAAAATTTAAAATTTACATGCGAAGATTCAAAAATTACAATGTAACTTACAAAATTTACAGTGTAAGTTCCATAAATTACATTGTAACTTATAAGAAAATGCACTGTAAATTTGAGTGAGAAAATCGAGTAAGAGATAAGAAAAAATCTTTCGAGTGAGATATAGCAAAATCGAAAAAAAAGTCCAATTTAATCTATACTACTCTCTCCGTATTATAAGTTACTCCATCCGTCTTAAAATATAAGTATTTTTAGCTATAAATCTGATATTCATAGCTAAAAATATTTATATTTTAGGACGGAGGGACGAGGGAGTAAGTCATTTTGACAATTTTTTTTTCTATTTAAACTTCTTTACATTTGACTAATTTTATCGAGTATCATTTCATCACAAAACAACACATATTATCAAAATATATTTCATACTATATTTCATGAAACTAATTTGGTGTTTAAAATACTTCTACTTTTTTTATAAACTCAGTCAAACATATAAAAGTTTAACTTGGAAAAAAAATCAAAACACCTTATAATATGAAACATATAGAGTACTTAAAATGTTAATAGTAGGGGTGGTGTTCTTCCACATCACCCTTACAGCTGATATCTAATGACCACAATCTATACTATTACATCATTTTTCAACAAGTTTTCTCCTATATCACTATTGACTCCCCCAAAATTCAAAATAACTTATTTGTTCAATAAGAATAATCATAACATTACTTAGACTAAATAAGTGTTTATTAATTGATTTAATAATAAGTAAGAATTTCAGTTTGTTTTCCGTTGTAACGTACGAGCTCTAGGCTAGCTTGAGAAATGCCCAGGGGTCTTCCGACTAGCTCCACAAGGTGGTGGGCTAGACGACTTGGGTTCAAAGCCTCACCCCTCCTAATTATTTGATATTAGGTCCTTCTCTAATATTCTAGTTTTACGAGCTCTAGGCTAGTTCTCTTAAAGTAAATATAAATCGGATCTGATTCATATCGCTTAACTATGAAACAAGGTATAAAGAATCATCTAACTGTTGAAACTGGTGAAAAGTGACTCCTATTCAGAGTGGTATCGGTTGAGGTGATGTCCACATGCAGAATTCACTTATATGTTGTACCGTTCTTTTGCATGGATGCATACTAAAAACGTGTTTTTATCAGTTCAATAACTTTGTTCATATTTTTCAACACTCTCAATATTAACCTTTTAACATTCTCAATGTGCACATCCCCCATATCCTCTTACGCTTAAATTCTTGTAGCAACATATTGGATATTATATCCCTTATATTATACGAAAGAAAGTTAAAAGCCCATCAATTGTAATTCACGCAACTGGTTGGTACATACTCCTTCCGTCAAAAAAAGTGAATATAGGACGGGATGTGACACATGACAAATGTATGTTCAGATTCGTAGTACTAGAATGTGTCACATCCAGTACTAGGTTGGTTTTTTATGGGACGGAGGGAGTATTGATCGAAACGTACTCCCTCCATTACATACTATAACACCCTTCTACCCGATATGATATAATATAATAAATTTTGATATGCAACAAATTTTGGTTGTCATTGCAGCCTAGTAAATATTTAGAGGTACACTTTTTAGAAAACGGATTATCATTGAGGTACACTTTTTAGAAAACGGATTATCATTTTGGTATATTCGTTTTCTATACATGACAACGAATCCGTTGTCATTGCAGCGGGGGAGGAGGCATATCAAAATTTGGTTTTTTTATCATTGAGGTTGAAGAGAAAAGAGATGCACTTTTTTTTTACAAACAAAGAGAGATGCCCTTGATTAATAGTGTAGTAATAAGGGGTGTATTGTTTCAAGAAAACACGCTGAGTATTTCTTCTTAAAAAAATACCGACACACATAAATTTTCCTTTTTCGTAAATCGGTCTATTTTTTCCTTCGTTTGAAAAACACAACGCTTCGGCGAAGCCCTCCCTCCCCTCCCGCCCGAGAAAATGGGGATTATACCATCCTCAAAACAGGGCTTCGCTGAAATGCCATCCTACAATTGGGATTCGCCCAAATACCACTTTCAACTGAGCCCAACCCGCTGAAATGCCATTCTCTTCCTGTGTAGTAAATCAAAATCATTTTCTCTCTTTTCTCACAACTTTGATGACCAAAATACCCCTGGTTCATTCGATTTAGAGGATATAGAGTACCATGTACACAGGATGTGATGAACATATGAAAAAAGGACCTTTACATCCTAGGAACTACCCGGTGATGAGCTCATGCCAACTGCAATCCATCTGCATCACTCCTGCAAGTAGATCCGGGACGGCGACACACCGACGTGGAGAGGGGCCGCAGTACGGCCGAGCGCAGGGTGGCGTGAGGGGAGGCCGCCGGCCGAGCGGCAGCGCTAGGGGAGGGCGCCGGTCGAGCGTCGGCGCGAGGGGAGGGCGCCGGCCGAGACGCGGCGCTCGGGGAGACCTCGTCGGGGAGACCTCGTCGGCGCCAGGGACGGCCGCAACGCGGCGTGGCGGCGCGAGGGAGAGGTCGGCGCCACGGGACGGCCGCAACGCGGCGCGGCGGCGCGAGGGGAGGCGCGCCGCGTCGTCGCTAGGGGAGGCGGTGGCGCGAGGGGAGGGAAGGGTAGGGCGGCGCGGCGGCGCTAGGGAGGTCGCGCGGCGGCGCCCAGATCGGCGTGGCGGACGGAAACCCTAACCCTATGCGTCTCGCTTTCCCAGCCGATTTATTTCTAACGATGAAATTGACTGAGGGGTAATTTCGTCAAATCATGTGAAAAATAGAGTAAAATCTTTTATTTTTGATGAAAATGATTTGGGATGGCATTTCAGCGGGTTGGGCTCAGTTGAAAGTGGTATTTGGGCGAATCCCAATTGTAGGATGGCATTTCAGCGAAGCCCCCATTTTCTCCTCCCGCCCACACGCACCAACCTCCACCCAAAAAACCCCCCCAAACCCTCGCCGCACCGCCGTCGATCGCCGCGGCGGTCGCTGGGGGGCAATGTCGCGCTGGAAGGAGAACGCCTCCCCTCTCCCCCTCCACCCCGGCGGCTCCTCCTCCCTCCTCCCCCGCAAGCGCCCTCCCCCATCCCCGCCCCCTCCGCAGCCCCCGTGCCCGCCGCCGCGCCGCCCGCTCGCCGACGTCACCGGCAACGCCCTGCGGCAGCGGGGATCCGGAGGGGGAGGATGCGGGTACGGGTACAGCACCCCCGCCCCGAAGGCGCCCAGGCCCTCCTGCAGGTTCCTTCTCGACGACGACGAAGGCATGGACGAGGCGTTCCTGCGGGAGGTGGACGCCATTTGCGAGGAGCACGAGCGGTCCTCGGCCAGGAAGGATAAGGAGGCCGGCGAAGCGCCGCCATCGATCCCCTCCGAACCGGAGAGCGGAGTGGTATTTTTTTTTTTGCTGCTCTCTCGTTTCATTCTAAACTGGGGTTTAGGGATCTAAGGGCGCATTTGTGGATTTAGGAATCTTGTAATTGGGAGGGAAGTGGCGAGGCCTAAGGGATTCTGAAACTTGTTGTTTCATGAAATGGGATTGCTTTAGGATCGAGAAGGATTTGGGGGGCAGAATTAGTTTATCAGTGTGATATTATTATGAATCTGTGACTGCTGGCAGTTCAACTGTATACTGGCGATTTTTTTTCTTTTTGAACTAGGAAAGCAAAACTTCCGCCATTTCGATATATCAGAAATGAAATGTGCTGTACCAGATCCTGAAGTGGCTACTTTTAATAGGGAACTAATTTTGATTGTTCTTTCTTTGTGGGGAATCCAGTCTGGAGATGCATTCCGGAAGGAGGAGAATGCCATTGGTGAGGAGGGTGATGCTCAGCCTTTAGCCACGAGCCAGGAAGAAATGGAGGATGCGGATGAAGAAGAAATCTGTGAACTGTGGTTTGGTGATGATTCACTTCCACCGGCCATTTCAATTGCCACAGGGGGTGGAGAGGTATGTCAAACGGTGGAAAACTCTGTAAGGTCCTGATGAATAGTTATTGGTTGGAGCAATCTGGCTCACTCAACTTTGAGAGTCTAATTGTGGTTTTCCTCATCCCTAACACTGATAGGAGAGTGTGATATATTCTTTGAAATTAGAAGAGAATTAGGATGGTCTGTGAAGTATTGGAAATTTTCTTTTTGTTGCACTTCGATAAGAAAAGTTGGGCAAATGAATGCCGACCTGTTTTTTTCCCCTTGAAATGCCGTTGTGTATGAAGTGCATATTTTTTAAGACATTATCATGTTAGTTGTTAGGTGTCAAGTGGCTAAAGGAACTTAGGATGTTTTGTTTGCTTGGGCGGCAGTTTGAGGATGCATTCTGGAACATCAGTGACATTACTGAGGAGGTGCACCATACAGGCTCTTCTGCCAAGTGCCAGGAGGATATGGACGGAAAAAATAGCGATGGTCCTTCAGTTCCCTCAGTAATTTGCCATGAAGAGCGGGAAGGAGAGGTATGGCTTATTTGCTTCATTTCTTAACTTTCGACAAATAAATGATGAACAGTTGTTCGGTGGTGGCTAATTCATGTTTCCTCATTCTCGGAAGGTGAACTGGGAAACTAAAAATTGAATTACTAGGTTTGCTTTGGAATCAAGAAAAATGTGTTTAATTCCTTTTCTCTTGGGGAATATTTAGCTTGTCGATGCATTCTTGGAGGATCTTGATGCTATCCATCAGGGTGATGCTACCAAGGGCCAGGAGGAGCCACAGGAAACGGAACTAGAAATTGAGGAAAATGAAGGGTGTGTTCCAAAGAAGTACTACGAATATTTGCAGTCCCTGAATGACAGGCAGAGGGAAGCTGCATGTAGTGATGTGACTATTCCACTAATGATAGTTGCTGGTCCAGGAAGTGGAAAGGTATGTACAAACATCCTTTCTCTGCGAATTGCATATATAACCAGTGTGTTTTGTTTCAATGTCTTAATCTTCAGTATTATGGACATATGTTGTTGAGTTAACCGCTGTCATAAATTATTGGCCCCAGCTTCGATGTGAAACCAACTGAGACCAATTTCGTCAGATGCTCAGGTCCTTTTAGACCAACATCATGCATGATTTAGCCTGTTTGACTAATAAAAATAATAGTCATTTATCGATATGCATTAATTTTGTAGCTTTTGTTCTTGTAGCTGATACAGTTAATGATTGTTTCTGAATGAAATCCATCTGACCATTCAAGCCAAATATATTCCGTAGATTATATCCTTTCAAACGTTAAACGGTGCAAGTGCCATCCATTTTATCGTATTTTTCATATCGGTCACACATAACAATATTGCAGATTCCATAAACTTTGTTGTGATTGAAAAAAGTTAATTGTACTAAAAAATAATGTCTATTTGAGCTTTATTGAACATATCAAAGGTCCTGTCATGCCATATTAAATTCCATGCTGGTGTATATACTGAAAATTTCCTTCCCATAATTGGCATGATTCAAGACATCAACAATGGTTGGTCGGGTGCTCACACTGCTCAAAGAGGTAAGGTTCACTGGTTGATATAATCAGAGTGAAATTGTATGGATTTTTTTTTTCTTGAAGCTCACATATTCACATATCTCCTTGCCTGATGATTAGGAATTTCCACCATCAAACATTCTTGCTATGACATTCACAACTGCTGCTGCTTCTGAAATGCGGGATCGAATTGGGACAGTGGTGGGGAAGGCAGTTGCCAAGGAGATTGTAATAAGCACATTTCACTCATTCTGCTTGCAGCTTTGCAGGACCCATGCTGAAAAGTATGTCTTTTCTGTTGGTGGATAATACTTAAAATACAATGCAACAATGGATATCGACATGCTTCTGCTCAGCATACTACACTTGCACATTTATCTTTGAAGTGCATATCAATGAACTTAGTGTTGTAGACCATTTGGTTCTGAGAAAGTAATATCTGAATAAGATGCAGCCTGGAAAAGAATGAAGCTGAAAATAAATTCTTGTTTTCTATTTTAACTTATGATTTTTATGATCACGCTATTCATTGTGATAAAAGTCAGAAATGCATTAAAATACCCATTACATAGAGATACCAGCACAATCTGATTTAGTACATCAAATCAGTCATCATCTTCAATTGTAGTTTAATGTTTCTAAATTCACTGACTGACAATTTGTTATGGTGTATCATATTTGCTAGTAGGATGAGCACATTTTCCCTGCTTAATCTGATTTAGTACATCAAAGCAGTCATCATCTTCAATTGTAGTTTAATGTCTCTAAATTCACCGACTGACAATTTGTTATGGTGTATCATATTTGCTAGTATGATGAGCACATTTTCCCTGCTTTCAGTGCGCTCTTATTTCCTACATCTTAGCAAGTGTAGGAATCATTTTAGATGATTGGAATCTTATCTTATTTATTGTTTTATTGTATGATTCTGATGTTCTAATAAATCCTTTAAAGGCTAGGCCGCACATCTGAATTCATAATCTATGGAAATGGGCAGCAGAGGAGGGCTGTTATTGAGGCAGAGCGTCTATTGGAAAGTGACAAAAATAATGGTCTAGGAGATGCAAATAAGAATTGCGATGGAGATATTAAAAATTCTTTCAAGGACAAAGCTAAGAAATGGCAGAAGTTTGTTACACAGGTGCCTTCTACTTTTGAAGAATTCATCATTTAAGCATTTTTGTTTTTATTCCCTTCTCTATTTTGGTGCATAGGGAGCTTCTGAAAGGAACTGGGTACATGTTATATTGTATGCATCCTGTAAAGTGAGGTGCACTGTTGCATCTACCTAAAGTGTGTGTGGAATGCTAGATTCTCTCTAGATTGGATATGCTAGTTCCACCTTACTGTTACATATCACAGCAGAATGTAGAACGCATAAAGGAAATGATTTAAGGTTCTTCCTAGATGCTGGGCTTAGGGGATTTAAAGCTACAGACAGTAATCGACAACTCCACGTACCTCATAAATACATAACACATGATTTAATTCAAATTCTCAGTATAATGTTAAAAGTTGTGCTAATTATAGAAAAGAACATTGCCAAGATTCTTTGCAATAGACTGGACTAAAGCTATCTCCAGGCTAGGTCTGAACAAAGATACCAGAACTTGTAGACAATAATAAATATGATATCAATGAATACAACTAACGGTAGAACCAGGAAATTGTGTGAAGCTCTCGGTTCATATGAGAAAGAAGCATTAGTCCTAGTTGCATCTACCTCAGAATTATAGCTAGTATGTTATGCTAAATTCTGGATCATGTTAATTCTGAATGTAGGCCAGTAGGATACTCAATGCATGTTTAGAATGGTAGTCCTGTCTTACACTGTATATGGTGCATGAACTTCATATTACAAACACACTCTTCATGGTTTGAGGCATGTGCTTGCTAGCCAGGGCATCTAGGCTTAAGGAGTTCCTTTATAGGTCGATAACACTGGGGAGGTGAGGTTTTTGCGTGTGTTGTGAAGGTTTCAGCCTGTTTCCAATCGGGTTTTTGGGCATTGCTCCCTTCCTATTCTCTCCTTCTCTTAATGAAATGATATGCACTTCTCTTGCGTATTCAAAAAAAAAATATTAAAATGTCTAGAGCAATATAATGTGTTAGATCAAAACTTTGTATATGTGGAAATTGTGCCAAACTGGTAATGTCCCTGAAAAACTATTACAAGCTGTTGCTGTATCAAGTTGACCTTATGGGTAGTTTGATTTTATCTTTTCCCTAAATTTAGCATCCTCCTTTACAGGCAAAAGCTTCTGGTAGGACTCCCGAGGAGTATGAAAAGAAGGGGGATTTGACAGGAGTAAGCTGTCCTTTTAGTATAACCCCCTGTATTCTTATATGTCTAACTATTGACCTTCGTTACCTCTCACTTTTTTGAATAGGCTTCAATTCTTCGGCACTACAATGAAATATTAAGGTCTTGTAATGCTCTTGATTACCATGATTTTATTAATTCATCGATAACCCTTCTCACAAAGTTTCCTGAAGGTAATTTCAGTCCTGATCTCACAATATTATCTATTGTGATAAATTTTTAAATAATATGATTGTGATATGATATCTCTCATGCAGTATACGACGAGTGCCGAAATACATGGCAGGCAATAGTAGTTGATGAGTTTCAGGATACAAGTGCTATGCAATATTATCTTTTAAAGACACTAGCATCCCACAACCGCATAACTATTGTTGGTGACGAAGATCAGGTGCACAAATTATGGTTCATCCATCATCCTATAATTTGAACTTGTGATATCTGTTTATTTACTAGTGTTTTCAGATGCAATATGAATTTATTTTCATTCTATTCTTCTCATTTTCAGTCCATCTTCAGTTTCAATGGTGCTGATGTCTCTGGCTTTGATTCATTTCGTAGAGATTTTCCAAATCACAAAGAGGTAATTACGGCATCTCTGTAGGAGTTTCCTAACATGCACTTTGTCTTTGATGCACAATCTTGATTCTCAGCTTGATGTCTGTTAATTGTGTTTTCGTGCTGATGAGTTTAGGTCAGATTGAGCAAGAACTATCGCTCTACACGGGCAATTGTTGAAGCAGCAACAGCTTTAATTCACAACAACACTAAACGGCAAAGCCACAAACTTGCTGAGACCGACAATCCCTCTGGGAATAAGGTGTCCTTAAAGATGCCACATATTGCTTCTTCTTGCATCATTCCAGTTACTTATTCTATCCATCATTTTGTATAGATCATTGTTAAGGAGTGCCACAGTGAAGATTCACAATGTGCATTTGTTATTGACAAGATTATTGAAACCACATCTAGTTCAGTTGAAGGATGTCATTTTGGCAAAATTGCTGTCCTATATCGCAGACAGGTTGAGAAATCTTCCACTTATTGCTGAACCATATTTTTTGGTTGTGTTTATGGTCTAAGTTACCTGTACACAGATCACTGGCAAAGCATTCCAGGCGTCATTCCGCAACAGAAAAATTCCTTTTAATATTCATGGTGTGGCTTTCTACAGGAAAAAGGTGCTTGGATTAATTTTTACTCCCAATATTATCGCGGACTAGCAATTTCTTGTGATTTCTTGAGTTGCTTTCTTACTGCCAAATTATCAATTTATAATCCTTGGTTCTATTAACATTTTAAAACATGAAAATTACTGGTACCTTTTCAAATTAATACTTTAGTTGTTGCTGACCATAATTTTTCTGTGTATATGATATGAAGCATTGATTTGGTAAACACAAGTGCACTATCATCTATAATTATTCAAGAAACCAACCATGCAGGCTGATTTTGTTTTTTTCACCAAATTATTTTGGGAATGTTCTGTGTTATTATATGGTGTATTGTGGGGGCCAAGGGTCTTATTAGTTTTTGACCATAAAGTTTGTTTGGTTGCTGATCGTAGTTTCCTTCTTTTCTAGTTTTTTCTTCGTTGTGTTTAACCCTGGCCCTTAAGGGCCTGTACGAGTCTTTCTAGACTCACTCCCCTATCTTCTTAATATAATGATGCACAGCTCTCTTGCACGTTCGAGAAAAAAAAGGTGGTATTATGGACCGGATAGGGTAAGGGTCAAAAGACTGAGGGATAACTCACCCTCTAATAGTGCCAGCAAGGCTTCTCCTTGCTGAGTTAAGAGAGGCTTTGAGGCTTAGAGCTAACTTAAGAATTTATATATTGATTGATTCATAATGGAGTACATGTGGTCCCTTTATATATAGGTAGGACTCAGGACTGACTTGACATCTAAGGAGCTAATCTCTAATATTGTATGAACCAATCCATCTCTATCTCTTGTTTACAAACCTCGCCACTTTCCTAACTAGATAATCTCCTATCTTTATTTGACCTATTCCTTATTTATAATGCCTAAACTGTTTCAGGGCCTGGCCAATGCCCATAACATAACATGTGGACTGAGCTTCTTGACATTATTTCTTTTAGGGTTTAGCAAAAATACATGTTTGCCTTGTGAACAAAAGGAGCATTCTGATTATTTTACTCATTGTTTACAATTACTTGGAACTTGGTAGAAAGTAACAACCCTCTTCATGCTGTTAGTTCTGTAAGTGCAACAATTTAAGTGCTTTACCATGTAACTATTTCAGGTTATCAAAGCAATTATGGCCATACTTAAAACTACATTACCAGGCTGTGATGATGATGCCCCATGGCATCAAGCCTTCAAGGCCATTCTTCCTGGTGACAAGGAAGAAAAAAAGAAGGTTCAGTTTTACCTGATTATATTCTATTTTTTGTATTTGTTACATTACATTTGCTTATATTTAATAAATTATCGTAATTCCCAGATTATACATCATATTGAAAAGATTTCATTGGCTAGAAAGTGTAGCTTCATATCGGCTGCTACTGACATCTTCAGTGCAAAGGTCTCTGGTACCTTCAAAAGGTTGTTATCTTCCGTGTTTACTTACCGTTCTACAGTCCATGTTTATTTTTTGTTTCTGCAGGGTTCTTTATTGCTATCTTCCAATGCTCATGGTGCAAATATAATGTGATGCTATGCTGAGTGTCCCATTCTGTTGGTTGTAGGGCCCAGATTACTCAAGGAAGAAAGGTTTTATCAGCCTTGGATAGCCTATCAAAACTTGTTGAAAGGGTATGACAAATGGTCTGGCCATTATATCTGTATTTCTGCAAACTAATGAACATGTTTCAAACTTTTAATTTATTTGATATATACAATAATGTTTAGGAATAATATTATCACAAATACCATCTTTGGAAAGGGTGCAATACTCACATACATAGACAAAAGTGTTAAGATAATAAATTTATGAAACTTTGATCTCGTTTACCTTGTCTGTCAACAGAAAATAGGATTCTAATTTCTGTGTATGACTATTGACTCATCCCCTAGTATACATCAATCATACCATTTCTGTTTTCTGCACTGGTAGTTAGTCATTAACTAGTAAATAGGATTCTAATTTCTGCATATCACCCACAACCTACTGACAATACATCACTGGTACAATTTTTTGCTTTCCAAAATGAGTTGCTAATAGCCTTGAGCTATCTTGTGTCATCAATTCAATAAATATATTTGGTAAGCTATGCTTTTTGTACGATCAATTGAGCAATGATATAGTATTACTTTTACAATTTTCTGTATCTCTCATTGAACCTCAAGAGCTACAATTTATTACTTCTTTGTGATACAGGAACAATCAGTTTCAGTGGTCATTTCTTCTGCTGGAGATATGCTACCTCAGGTTCAATTAATTTGTTGCAGTTGTATTTAATGAGCTTTGCCTTCATGTATGATCTGTTAGAAGTAGATTTAGAAACGCGCCATTTTTTTTTCTTATGGTGCAAGTGCTGCACTATTCACTGTTCTCTGGTTCACTTCAAGGTATTTTGTTTCATCCTAGAAAATAAATCAACAATTTATCGGCGCCATACATTTGTATGTGCATCATGACTTCTTGAGGTCCTATTAGCATGTTGTGGTCATAAAAAGTATTAATATCCCTGATGACCATCTAAGCAGTATTCTGTTGTATGGTTCATGGCAAGAAAAGCTACAAAGCCATGCTTTAGGCCCTAATGCACTTTTGCAGTACAAACTACAAAGATATGCTATATTTTACGTATTTTGGATCAAAATAGTGATGCACATTCAAACTTATTGAGTCTGTTAGGTTTACTAGTACTGAGCTTCATTAAACGTTTAATATCACTGTGCTTGATTCTGTTCAATTTCTTTAATTACAGCTACTTTATCATTTTTTGACAGAAATACCTACTTGAAAAGCGTGCGATTGTTGATGCTGATGGGGGTAAATTATTAAATGAAGATAATGACATCAGATCAGTAAGTACAGTTCATACACCTTTGATGCTCTTAGTGTTTTGCACATTGATCCTCGAGAAAGACTAAACTTTGAATGCACCAAGAATCAATTTTGGATTATACTGTCTCAAGCATTCAGAACTTGAAGAAATTATGGCAACAGAGCTTGAAGGATACAAAGATGCATTTATATTTACATATTTGTACTGTAGTAGCCTGCTGCTTTGGGTCAGTCAGAAGCATCCATCGGAAGACACTTATTCTTGATAAAAATGACTTAAAATTGCTTTTTTTTTTGTCAATCACCATGGTTGGACACTCAATGTCAATTGTCTATTTCCAGGACTTAAAACCATGGACTATGTCTAATTTACCATACCATCACCAATTTTATTGATGAAACAATAGTGTGTTACACAAGGTTATGAATAGTTAATTCTAGCTTAGTTTCCCATATTGTTTGGACTCCTTGTTGATTATGTTTATAACTTCCTGTCCCCTATTACTTGACTCGGTGTTTTGGCGATAATTAAAATGGTTGCTTTGGTATGTATTAAGAACCAGTACATGTAGATGGAAATCATAATCTTCGTCTGCAGCAACTTGCACGAGGTGTTTGGTTTGCATGTGCAGCTCCACCTAAGGTTTTCAGTAGGGAATACTTAAGAATAAAATGCACCCTAACATGACATAAGAGGATAGGAGAGGTCGGGGGGCGGGGGAGCTATATTCCACCAAAGTTCTTTTTTGTTCTGATTGGGCGTTGCAATATATATCAAACCCAAGTACGCTAATTGTTGTTGATATTACCGATATTTGATTTGGTTTGTTAGACTCATATGAGGTCTCTTTATGAACTTTCTTTTTTGGATTTTGAACATTTTTTGTTTGGATGGTTTATATTTGACATACATTTTGTATACAGAGAGGTGGTGTTAACTTATCCTAAATCAAACTGCAGGTCCTTCAGTTTTTAATGGATGATGTGTCTGACTTCTTATCAACACATTTTTCTAGTTCAGTGGATACAAGCAAGACTGAGGAGAAAGGCTGTGCTTCTACACTTAAAGCCTTTATTGATTATATCTCTTTGAGAGAAACTGAAAACTTCAGATCACGAAAGGAGGAAAATAAAAACTCTATCACATTAACAACTATCCACCAGGTTCTTTATTCCCTTAACTGCAATAAATTTATTTGTGCCATTTGGCAATTCTGACACTAAAAGATGTATATTCCCTTCTATGATTCGCAGTCAAAAGGTTTAGAGTGGGATGTTGTGTTTATCGTGCAGGTATTGTACTTTAATCAGTAGGGAATTTACGGTTTGTTCATCTTTCTATGTGTTATAAAATCATAGAATTTAGCCGTAATGTTTTCTCATTTTTTATCAGAAGTATGCTGTTTTATGTTGTGACGATAAAAAAATGTGCAAGCTGGGAATGGTATATGGTAGACATACATTAAAATTCAGAAAGGTTATGATATATAGAGCTGTGGATAATGAATTATGAGGAATTTGAAATATTGACTTGATTCAGAGTAACTTTGTACTATTCTTGCCTGTGACAACATGAGTGCCATCATAGAGGACTGGTCTTGTTATATGCCTTTGTTTTTCTTTGATTTGTAATGGAGAGTCTAAACACTGCAAAATTTATGGATGGGTAACATATTTTGGTTCATGTGTTTGTTTTATTCTGATATTATGCAACTACGTTAATTTTTCCAAAGGAGTATTTTCTTGCTTTTGTTCACTTCAGTCCTTTTGCTCAGGCAAATGATTCAGAAATTCCTTTGTTGCATGAGTACAATGGCACTGTGAAAGAAGCTGGAAGCACACTGGAGGTTTGTTCAAATTTTTTTTCTTTCCCTGAGGTGGTTTTCTGTATGTATTCTGCAACTTGGTTGTAATTACAGGAGGAGAGAAGGCTATTCTATGTTGCAATGACACGAGCTCGAAAGAAACTGTACATCTTACATGTCACGGTTGACTCTAATCGCCAGGCAGGTGATTTTATATTGTATTCATCCTTATAAAGTATCTAGATTTCACTGACTTAAACTATTACTGGCGTCTAGCTGCTGCAACCTTCACGCTTCCTCAGGGAGATTCCTGCTCACCTTCTTGAGGTACAGGTGAGCACTATTTTGAGATCCTGTTTTGAATGGTATCGAGACCTGAAGAATGGTATCTCTATCCCATATTGTTGTGTATTCCACCATACAATCTGCTTGGAGCATTTTAAAAAATTGTAAATTTTAGATGGTATACAGCTATATATCAATCTAGAAAGTCATTTATATGAGTAATATAATCTATTATAGCAATAGTAGCTTAACATAATTTTCTCTTTTCAATAATGTGAAGGGTGAGGGAACTGTGAGAAGAACTCCTGAACAGCCGGTGAACATTCCATTTGATCAACCTGAAGGAGATACATCAGTTGAAAGGCCTATGGTGGTACGGAATGAAACTTCACCTTTCCCAGAAATGGATCAGCCATGTCTTGCTAATGATTTCTTGAAGAGGTAAATCAGCGTGATATGATCTATTTCCCTTGTGAGTTGTTTTTGTGCAAGCAGTTATTTTTCCTGCACAATGTATTTAAAGAACAGATAATTTGCATCTATAACAAACACTTGCTATTTTATGTTATGTCATTTGCTGTATTTTGTTTCTCCCCTGACCAAAACAAATTCGTTCTTCTCTTTTTGCAGGTTTGAAATTGAGGATAGAGCAATAATTTCACATATATTTCATCAATGGGCGAAGAAACAGGCATTTCAAAATCCAAAAAGGCTGCTTGATAAGGTACTGAATATTTCATTTTACATTGGATGGATGCCATATGCCATTGATTCGTTCCTATAAGGAGAAGTAGTTTTTTTTTTTTGTACAAGGAAAATATGGTCAGCAGCTCACTGGCGGACTGAATGAAGTCGGTAGTATCAGCAAATTACATTTATGCCATGTCTGTTGCTGTATTATTTTTGCTAGGAGTCAGGATCTGAGACATGTTAGTTCTGAAACAGTCATTGGTATTGCATTGCTACTGTACATTTCATGTTCAGTCTATCTATGCTTGCCTTTTCAGATTGGTTTTGTTATTGATGAACGTTTACGAGGTAAAGGATACAAGCGCAAGGTTGGTTGCTTTGTTCCATTGATTCCACTATCTCCCTTTCTGTCACATCTTTTATTTCATGATTGTTTATTATATTGATGTTCTTTATATCATCTTGTTCGTAGTCAGTGTTATACATAGGTAATCAGTGATATTTTGATCATACAAATTGTTATTTCTCATTCAGGAGATTTTACCCTGACATATTAACATGTGAGTTCTTTTTTTCCAGGATGTATTGTGCAAGCTGAAATCATTCTTAAGTGGTGATGAAGCGTTTGGTTATGCACAATATGTGAGTTAAGCTAAAACGATGAAAATTTTGGCAGTCTCTTGACCTTGAGCGTTGATTCTCTTTAATAAATTATTTTTTTGAGAACTTTAATAAATTATTAATTTCATATTGTGAACTCTTAGGTTATCAAGTGGGAACAGATTCCTATCGACAAGCGGAGCCATTTGATGAGAGAGAGACAGGCAAGTTCCTGAATTACGATCTGTTATGAATTAACTTAGAATTTCTTTTCTTTTTAATATTAACAAGGCATCTACATGATGGACACCTGTCCCCAAGATTCTCACATGTTTGTGATCTTCCAGGAACATTTCCAAAAGCAGAGGATAGAGAACTCCATGGGTTCCTCAGAACCTACACCTAAGCAGGTCAGTTATCTTTGCCAATGCTCTCATATCTTTACCTACTTTGACTAGCTGGTTCATCTGACAATCACATTGCCATTATGGTGCCCGTTATTGACAATAGAAAGCCCATAGTTTTTTTTTTGGCAGAAAATAGTTTTACTGGTTTCCTTCGCTTTATATGCTATTCCCACCTGAATGGATTATCATTCAAACACTTTGCTCATCCTTTGGTGCAGATATCGTACCTCCGGAACCTGGGGTGCACCATCACACCCACGTCTCGCCTGCACGCGTCGCATCTTATCGAGAAGTACAAATCTCTATGACTTTTCACTGCTTGAACCTGCAGGGGACACATGATTTCAAGCTCAGTCTCAGAATTGGGACCATATATACAGCAACGCTGGTGAAAGTTCCTCATATTAACTGTACATGCTGTACATATCGATGTACTTTTCCCGTGGACATGGTGTGGTTAGAGCAAACGTCTTGTTACATTACCAGGCTGTTCTTGGGCCACAAGGGCCAACCAAGAAACGAACCGGGCCTTCTCTTTGGGGAATCTGGCTCGGCCCACAAAATAACCAGCTATGGGAGACTCAGTCACATCCCTCATGCAACGTACATCCTCCGTCTTGTAAAAAAAATATCAACTTCTAGCTATGTACTTTATGGGATGGATTGAGTACGGGTTATGTGATCATTGCCTCTTGTTTTTGCGATGATCCTTGTACGCTAGTGCCTAGTGGTATAAAATGAGCTTTGTATATAATTTGGTCCATTTTTTTTAAAAAAATAAACCTGCAATAAAACGTTTTCTAGAAACTGGACCTACAATATGGGGCCGTGATATTCAATGTGATGTGCATACAGCATGGTGTTGTATAATTTGGACGTCGATGTAGGATATTTTGTGAGACCATTATACGCGGTTGCCTACATAGCCTCAAATTATGTGACACGGTGCCAATGTGCCATAAACATCTCTATCTCTAAAATGCTACCGACGGTCTAGAATATATATGATGTTTAGGAGAACCAAAATTGACTTAAATGTTGTTATATTTTTCTGTCCTAAACGTCGTATATGATCATGATTGGATGGAGTATTTTATTAGAGGCCCACATGTAAAAGATATTTAAGAAAAAAAAAGACTAAATTACCAAAACTACCCCGCTATGTACTCCTATACTGCCCAGTCTGCCCTACAAGAAACTCGTGCGTGAACTTCTACTGTCACTGCACTCTTCCTCTGCACACACGTTTCAGTCTCTCATCAGCCCGACGTTTCTGCTGCAAAACCACGGCCTGATTCCGATTCACGCAAATCGCGGCCAAATCTCGCAAACCAAAACCAAAATCGCCACCTGTAATGTAAAGAAAAGAAAAACAAAAACAAACAAAAGTGAAAAACAGCCAAACCGACGGCCCAAAAAGAAGCCGCAGCGGTGCGTTTCCATGTGGCGAATATTTCCAGGATGATTCCAATCGGCGCACGGCACCTCAGCACATCACACCAGATATATAATTAACCACCCCGTCTCTTTCACGACCCACTCCGCCTCGCCTCCACTCCTCTCCTCTCCGCATCCTCCTCATCGCCTCCGCTTCTGCTTTTTTTTTTCTTTTTTCTCGTTGATCGGTTTGTTCGATCAGATCGGTTCTTTGGAGAGATGGAGCAGTCCTTCATCATGATCAAGCCTGACGGCGTCCAGAGAGGCCTGGTAATCTGACTTCTTTTTTTCTTTTAATGTTCTTCTTGTCGTTTTGGCCATCGATTTTCGAGAGGAATTTTGCGGTTTCGGATCGGTTAAATAGCGTAGTTGATTGGTGTTTGTTTGTGAGATTTTGAGTTGTTTTGGTAACTTTTTGTACCGTTTTGCGTGGTTTTTAATGGGGAATTTTGATTTTCTGTTCTGCAGATTGGAGACATCATCAGCAGGTTCGAGAAGAAAGGATTCTACCTGAGGGGTATGGCTGATCCTTTTCCCCTCTCGATTTGATCGTATGGATTCATTTTTCATAACTTTCTTTTGTATTTTTATTGATCTAATTTTGGGTTGACCTACCCGTTTTTTTCAACACATATTATGAAAAGCAGAGGCTGACGATATCATAATACTCTGTTTCATATGGGTAGGTTGGGGTTGTGAGTTGTGACATGGAGAATTTGATGGGTTTAATACATGATTCAAAAGCAAGATTTTTTTATATAATTTATATGTTGATGATTGGCCATTTTTAACTGGGGACAACAGACTGACACAGTAATATTCAATTTAGTATATCAACTGATTCGTTGTCAAGTCTAATTTTGCATTACATGACATGGGCAACTTATTTATTATTATAGCAGAGATCGTCAAAGCCTCAAAGATGTAGTCTACTATTTGTACTTGTAATCATGGAAATATCTTTCTGAAAAGAAAACATCATTTGTACTTGCAATAGAGTTCAACTAATATCTTTGGCATGCATTTAACGTGCTCTTTTCCATTTTTTGTTCCTTATTAAAAGTTGTTGTACTTTAGTGGAAACCAAAATGTTTTATAAAGCATTACAGAACAACAAAAACAGCTGTCTTAAGGAACAGCAACAAAGAACAGAAGTAAAGGACTTTCATTTAACTTCCCCTGTTTATAACAACTGTGTAGCCATGTATTGGTTGATGTGGCGATTATAACAACTGTGAAGCCCATTTTTATGAGAATTATTCGAAATGCACGCAAAACATCATCCAAAAACTTAATTTCATTTAACTTCCCCTGTTTAAGAAATATACTTCCTCCATTCCAAACTATAAGCATTTATGCGTGTTATTCACAATGAATCTCGATCTTGAGATTCATTCTGAAAAACAAGTATAAATGCTTTTTATTTTGGAACGGAGGTAATATTCGGTTGAGGGATGATGGTGCTTACGAATTACTTTTTGAACTGCAATGATCCAGGGATGAAGTTCATGAATGTGGAGAGGTCCTTTGCACAGCAGCACTATGCCGACCTTTCCGACAAGCCCTTCTTCCCTGGGTTGGTGGAGTACATCATCTCTGGCCCCGTCGTTGCGATGGTTTGGGAAGGGAAGGATGTTGTTGCCACTGGCCGCAGGATCATTGGGGCCACCAGGCCCTGGGAGGCAGCCCCCGGCACCATCCGTGCTGACTATGCCGTGGAAGTTGGCAGGTGAGTCATTCTTGTCTGTCTTGGTCATCAGCTCATTATTGCTTGAATTTTCAGTCAGTTCTTGTGATCCTTTTAATCATGTAAGGATCCTGAGCGATGGATGGTTCTTTATTTGTTTTGCTGCTAGCATCAAACGATGATTTTGTTTGAAAATGGGTGGTTAAGTGGCTTTTATTTTGATCTATATAAATGTGTGAACCTCTGTTTTTTACCAGTCAGAAGGTATCAGATAGTGAATGTGCTGTGATATGATTTACAAAAACTTTTGCATGCATTATGATGTTCATCTTTTCTATATGTTACGATGTTAGTGTATTTAGACATAATAACTACTTGGATTATGTTAAACTATGTTCAATTCTAGCTTTTGTTTTTGAAAATAAAAATCATAATGCTTCCTGCTTATCGATGCCTAAGCTCAAGCTGTTGTTTCTTGTGTAGGAATGTCATCCATGGGAGCGACTCCGTGGACAACGGGAAGAAGGAGATCGCTCTCTGGTTCCCTGAAGGTTTAGCTGAGTGGAGGAGCAACCTTCACCCTTGGATCTATGAGTCTTAGAGCTTCGCGCCTATAATCGATCACCTCTTGGTGGCTAGTTCTCGTTAAATATTTGAGTTTTGTTTCAGAGTTGTCATCTGGCTGCCTCCTGAGTCACCATTATAATTCTGCTGTGATACAATCACAGTTATATGTTGCCTGAACTTATATGGCTTTTTAAGTTTCTGGATTGGATGTGATGGGAAAATAATACTAGCAGTCAGTTTTTGCTTATAAATGTCGTAATATCTTAATCATGCTCTTTCCCTAGGTTCATCCAAGATAAGCAGATGGTGTTGCCTGATTTTCTTGTGGCACATAAAGCTCTTAGATTTGCAAGCAACCTGCTGTTCTGGACTTTGTTGGAAAATTTACTAGAACTAACCAAATACCCGTGCTTTGCTATGTATTAAAACAAATTAACAGTAAGATTTTTAGCACAATTTTGTCATGTAGAGATGTGGAGATGAAATATGATAGAATCCTATATATAGAGGGATTATTTTATAACAACATGATAGAGTAGGTGATAAATAAATAAATAAAAACTTGGTGAGCTGTTGGTAGGTTCATTATCACCAGCATTGTTCTCTTTTAAAAGGAGTATAGATAATGTTGAATGCTTCAAGTTTAAAATGGCAAAATAACACAGCTGATTCTTACATGAGAACCTTATCTATTCAAATGTACAGATGATTTTGCTTAGAATTGGGGAGAAAATGAATATTGCAAATGAAGTCTGGTACTCTGATTGGCATTGATGAGTTGATTCACAAGTTTCCTGAAGAATTTCTAGTCGTGAAGTTTCTGAAATGACAGGAGAGTTTCAGCCTGTCTAGCAGGATTGTTTTTTCAATTAAAAAAACATAAAACAGAACCATTCTTAAAACTTTCGAAATAAATTTGAAAACTTTTTCTGTGGGAAATTATTTTGATGCATTGAGGGGATGTTTTCTCTTATTTGCATGTCACTAAAATTGTTACGAAAAAAATTTAAAAAAAATTGAGAAGATGTATTAACATGTGATATATTATTACACAAACATACAAGCTCAAAATCAATTTCTACATCTTGCAACGAAAAAACAATTAATCGTTGCAAGATGTAGAAGTTGAATTTAAACTTACACATGTTTGTATAGTGATATATTAAATGTTAATATATATTCTTAATTTTTTTTATAACCATATGTAAACAACGAGAATCCACTCACACTGTCTGCTTTGGTGAGTGACTCTCAACCAGGTGCGGACGTGTCCTGTGCATCATCTTCAAGGTAAGTGTGGCTCCCGATCGTCCACCTCTCCAAACCATCCATCGCACAAAAACCACCACCACACTGTCCGCGCATGGCGCCCAGCTCTCCATCTCGTGTCGTGTCCAAGAAACGCTTCCGGCTGCCATCGCCATGGCGCTCGCCACCACCTCCTCTCACGCGCTCAGCTGCTACCTGCATCCCCGACGGCGCCGCCGCGGCAATGTCGCCGTGTCGCCGCGGTCTGAGGGCGGCGGTGCCCGGAGGAAGGAGGAGGTGGAGATCGTCATCGTGGGCGCCGGCGTGGCGGGCCTCGCCACGGCAGCCTCGCTGCGCCGGCTCGGCGTGGGCGCCACCGTGCTTGAGCAGGGCGCGTCGCTGCGCGCCGGGGGCACGTCGCTGACGCTTTTCAAGAACGGGTGGCGCGTGCTCGACGCCATCGGCGTCGCCGACGAGCTCCGCGCCAAGCACCTCCGCATCCAAGGGTACGTCTCTCTCGCTCCCTCCCCTGTATCTCCATGGATGATCTCCGAGCTTCTCCCGTCGCGTTCTGAGCTCCGTTGGTGACGTTCCAGCTGACCGGCCGCAGGATGAAGATGCGGTCGGCGTCGTCTCCGGCGTCGGCGGCGGGCGGCGTCCTCCGCGAGTTCTCCTTCGAGGAGGAGGCCCCGGGTCAGGAGGTCCGCGCGGTGGAGCGGCGCGCGCTCCTCGAGGCGCTGGCGTCCAAGCTGCCGCCGGGCGCCATCTCCTTCTCGTCGAAGGTGCGGCGCGTCGCCGTCGCCGGGCAGCAGCAGGGGCCCGGCGGCGCCACCGAGCTGGAGCTCGAGGACGGGAGGCGGATCGTCGCCAAGGTGGTGGTCGGCTGCGACGGCGTGAACTCGCCGATCGCGCGGTGGATGGGCTTCTCCGAGCCGAGGTACGTCGGCCACATGGCGTTCCGCGGGCTCGCGCGCTACGACGGCGACGGCGGGCAGCCGTTCGAGGCGAAGGTGAACTACATCTACGGCCGCGGCATGCGCGCCGGTTTCGTCCCCGTCTCACCCACCCGTGTCTACTGGTTCATCTGCTTCAATCGACCAAGCCCAGGTTCGCGAAATTTGCTTAGTTTATAAAAACAAATAAATATCATATGTAGATTTGCTTTCGAAAGTATTATCATAATACCATGAAATTAAAACACGAATGTTAGGGAAGAACTAATATCAAATAATTAGAAAGGGCAAGGCTTCGAATCCAGATCATCTAGCCCACCACCTTGTGAAGTTAGCCGGAAGACTCCTAGGAGTTTCATGAAATTAATTATTAGATTTTATGAACTTATTTTGATATAAAATCGATTAACATCATTGACTTAGGATTCAAGTTTCAAAAGTTTAACCAAATGTTATCCTAAACATCGCGCATTTACGACCAAACAGATTAACAAGGGAAACAAGTGAAATTTTACATTTGAAAGTTTTTTTTAAGAAAAAAACTGTTCAATGTTGTATAGCACTCTCTAAATTTGTTAGTTATTCTTGCTTGAAATCTTAGCATTTTTCGTAGCTGATGTGTTTGAATAATCTTTGACTCTACTAACTTAGGGCCAAAGATCACGGACCCGGCGGCGCTCAAGAGGGAGGCGCTGGAGCTCGTCCGCGGGTGGCCGGAGGACCTCCTCGCCGTGATGCGCGACACCCCGGACGACGCCGTGGTGAGGACGCCGCTGGTGGACCGGTGGCTGTGGCCGGTCCTTGCCCCACCGGCGTCGAGGGGCGGCGTGGTGCTGGCCGGAGACGCGTGGCACCCCATGACGCCCAACCTCGGCCAGGGCGCCTGTTGCGCGCTCGAGGACGCCGTCGTCCTGGCGCGCCGCCTCGCCACCGCCGCCGCGAGCGAGGGCGGCGAGGCGAGCTCGTACGGCGAGGCTATGCGGGCGTACGAGCGAGAGCGGTGGGGGCGGGTGTTCCCGCTGACGGCGAGGGCGGGGCTCGTCGGCGCGCTGGTGCAGTGGGGGAACCCGGCGGTGTGCGCGGCGCGCGACGGCGTGGTGATCCCGAGGCTGGTCAGGCTCGGCCCCTTCCTCGAGCACACCAACTTCGACTGTGGCCTGCTCGAGCCGTCGGCGGCGGCGGCGGCACCGTCGCCATGACAGAGCCAAAGCTGTTGTCTGAACAGTGGCGCAACTGCAGCTTTCTCCCACACTCACTCTCTCGCTTCAATGTAACTACTGTATTGGATAGTGGATACAAATTTCAATGCTAGCATTTTCTAACTATTGTTAGACAAACATTTGCAATAATGTGAGAAAAGACATTACCAAAATTTTGCAATTGATACGAATGAATCAATATATAAATTGAACGTAACCCCATATACTAATGATGTTTAAGGACTATCTACTGCTCAACTCTTTGCTTTATCTAAAATACATTCTCCAACTTCAAAACCAGATATTATACGCTCCAAATTATGAATACCCGAAACATATAACCATTAAAGTCAGATTTAGTACAATTGGAAGCCATATAAGATGCTACTTATAAAAATATTTCAAAAAATTAGTAGACCCCACATGTCAGGGGTCACCCTCTTCTTTTTCTCTATCTTTTCTCTCCTTCCTCTTCTTCCTCTATAAAGACTGAGCAACAAAGGAGGGAGGAGGGTTTATACGTCGGCGCTCCGGGGAGGGAATGACGGTGATGGCTGTGGTAGGACATGTCCAACGTCACGGAGCAGCCAGCAGTGGTGGAGGCCGAAACGAAAACTACGAGAGTAGCGGAACACATGCAACAAGAGCGCAGAGTTTCAAAGGAGAGATTTTACCAATATTTTAAAATATATTTTAGCCGTGACACGTTTTTTAATGTCTACTAATAAATTACACTTATTTTGGGTGTTTTGTAGTAAAATTTACTTTTGGACAAAGCTAAGAGTTGAGAGGGTTGTAAAATAGGCTTATCCCTGTAGAGTCATAGATATTTTAGCGCATGGTAATAGGAAACGTATAAACTTAAACTTTGTGGGGGCAACATCTCGTGGCGGGCCAGACGCTGATATGCACGAGGTTGGGCTCAACGTGTTGGCGTCACCAATTAAACCCAGCCAGCTAAGTTCCTTCAGGGGGATTTTGGGTGACACGCGAAACAAGAAAAAATATCGAGTATTAGTTATGATAAATATATATATATAATTTAATTATTTTTAATTCTTTCAATAAACTTTCATATAGAATAGAGCTTTTTTTTAAATGGAACTGCTAGAAAGCTTTCGCAAGTTTTTTGCCGTCCAAATTTTCGGATTTGTGGCCATCGCATCGTTTAAGTGTACATGAAAGAAAGAAAAATTTCTAGAAACAAATTTGTACAGTTTTGCTATAAGTTACAATGCAGTTACAGTACAACTATAATACATTTACATCTCAATTATATTATAGTTATATTAAGAAAACTTGCGGGAAGCGTCGTAATTATACTATAACTAAATCTGAAAAAAAAAGAAAAAAAAACTTGGGGGAAGCACCATAACAGATACGGAGGAAGAGGAAGCGTGATAACGGATGGTGCGGCTTAGCAGAGAGGAGCGATGTGGTCGAGCTCGACGGGGAGGCCGTCGTGCGGCGTCGGCATCGGGTCCCTGAGAAACGTGTTCTTCTCCTCCCCGAGGCAGAGCTTCCACCTGAAATGCCTCACCAGGTAGTGCGCCGTCACCAGCGTCTCCACCCTCGCGAGCTCCATCCCGGGGCAGATCCGCGGCCCGCCGCCGAACGGCACGAACGAGTACGCCGCCGCCGCCGCCGCGCCGTCGAACCGCGACGGCTCGAACTTGGTCGGCTCGTGGAAGATGGCCGGATCCATGTGCGTCACGCTCGGCGACCAGAAGATCTGCCACCCTCTCGGGATCGTGTAGCCCTCGAACTCGACGTCGACGGGCGCTCTCCTGAAGCTGCCCAACACCGGAGGCACCATGCGCAGCGTCTCCTGCGCGACGCGCCACGACAGCTTCATCTTGGCAACGTCCTCGCATGTCAGCGCCTCGCCGTCTCGCTTGCCCCTGGCGATCTCCTCATGCTCTGAGTGTTCGTCAGGGGAGGGGAGAGTTGGGTTTCTTGGGCGAGAGGAGAGGAAAGTTAGTGCTACTACTACTTGCCTTGGGCCATGGCGGCGAGGGTGGCCGGGTCGTTGGCGAGGTGGCGGAGCATGAAGGTGAGGAGGACGGCGGAGGTGTCGTGGCCGGCAACGAGGGCGAGCACGGAGTTGTCGACGATCTCCTCCTCGGTGAGCAGCTGCCGGCCGCCGTCTCGGAGGCTGAGGAGGCAGCTGATGAGATCGTCGGATGGGGAAGACTCGCCGTGCTCCAGCTTCGCCGCCTTCTCTCTCACGGTCGCCTCGACCAGCCGGCGAGCCCTCGCGCTCGCCATGAGGCCTCTGCGGAACGGGGTGAACGGCAGGTCCACCGGCACCGTCCACAAGCCCTCGTGCATGCCGTCGAACGCGTCGGCGAGCTGCTCCCGGATGGCGCCGCGGTCGAGGCCGAACAGCAGGGTGGCGATGACGTCGAACGCCAGCGTCTTCATCAGCGGGAACACGGCGACGGTGCGGCGGCCGGCCCACCTGGCGGCGAGGTGGCGCCTCACCTCGCTGTCGATCTTGCCGACGTACCGCCGCACCATGTCCGGCCTGAGGAACTGCAGGATGGCGCCGCGGACGCGCCGGTGGTCGTCGCCGACGAGCTCCAGTATGTTCCTCCTCCCGATGATCGCCGCCAGGCTCCGGGGCTGCTTGGGCGCCAGCGCCTCGTGGTGGAACACCACCTTGTTCGCCGCCGGGCCGGCGACGAGCACCGTCGGCGCGCCGAACAGCGACAGCTTGGACACCGGGCCGTACCTGTCGATCCTGTCCTGCAGCCACCGGTCGGCGGTGTTGCGCCGCATGGCGCGCAGCAGGGAAAGGCTCTGCCCGATGAGCGGCAGGCCGAGGGAGCCCGGCGGCAGGTTGCGCCGCGGCGGCGGCGGCGGCGACGCCCTCCTCGCCAGGTACACGGCCAGCGGCGTCAGGAAGGCGGCGAGGAGCGCGATGACGACGGCGACGGCGACGACTGCCATTGCAACAATAGCCAAAAAGAGTGTAGCTGTGAGCCTGTGAAGCTAAAGCTTAATTGGAATGAGACTTGACCAAAGAGATATCGAGCGAACTTCATTTATAAGAGCGTGAGTAACTCGTAGGATCAGTTTGCGTACTTCCCATGGTATAGAATTATTCACATTCAAGCCCCTCTAAACTGAACAAGGCTTTAGTTGGTACTCCCTCTGTCTCACTGTCTCACTCACTAAGGTACGGTCAAACTTGATAAAGTCTTCAAAACTAATATTTGATTTTAAATTTCTCATATGCTATAATGTTTGTAGAAATAAAATCATAATTATAGGAAAATAAATTTAAATGACAATCCAATAACACTATTTTTATCAAATAAAATTAAATTAATAATATATAAACTATTTATTGGTCAAATATTTAAAAGTTGACTCTTAAAACGTGCGCGTCTTAGTGAGTAGGACAGAGGGAGTAGTAACTTTGACAAATAAAAATGTTTATGGGAGTATCTAAAAAACTACTATAAATTTTTTTTGAGTATAAAAGATTCAGATGTAACTATAATTGAATTATAATTGTAACTGCACTATAATTGTATTGAAACTACAATATAAGTTATATAAAACTTGCATTCAACTATGGTTTGGGTAACTAGCAATGGAATCTAATGTTGACATGTGTGAAAATTTATTTCTATCATTTTTCGCTTCATATACAAATCTCAAGGCGATCCAATGGCCACAAATCTAAAAGTTTCGAGGGTAAAAATCTTGTGAAAGTTTTCTAACAAATCCGATTGTTTATTTATAAACATATTTCACACCGCGTAGAACCAAATATATACTAATCTCGTGTACAAACTTTGACATCTTATCCTTTTTAATTTTTTTTTTGAAAATATGTCATATTTTCATGTATTTTTCTTGCAAAATATAATTATAGTACTTTCATTTATCAAAACATAATAATTTAAAAGTTTTTATTGGCCAAAGATAAAATTACACTGGTTAAAATAAAAAGGAAAGGAAGGGGTGTATTTTTACCATTGCAGCCTTATCCTTACAATTATAAATCATACTTCCTCCGTTTCACAATGTAAATCATTCTAGCATTTCCTGTATATTTATCTAGATTCATTAACATCAATATGAATGTGAAAAATGTTAGAATAATTTACATTGTGAAACGGGGGAGTACTAGCTAAATATCAATGCGTTGTAAGGAGCAGGTTGAATATAATTTATCCCATCCTCCATAGCTAATGCCTAATGGGTGGACTATTGTTTAGTGGCTCCTAAATGTCACCTTACGTTAGGAGTAGTTGGTACCAAATTTAACAATCTCTATGGTCCCACATGTCAATTAGTGAGATAAATTCACTGCTCATCACCGTTACCACTTTATAGCTATATGTCAACATTTTTTTAGAAATAATACGATTTTAATGGAAAAATGAAAAAAATATAGGTATACCAGATAAAATTATAAGTTTAGCATCATATCAAACAACTGAAGTGTGACAGGATATATATCAGATAGCCTATCGAATAACATTGGTTCGGACCATAATTGTTTGATAAGATCATTGGTCCGAGAAAAAAATAGTAAAAGGTGCAGGCATGCATGCACGCACGCAGGAGGCCTCTCGAACATTCAACGTTCTATAGGTACCTCATGCACATTAGCCCATGCACACACGTACACACATGCATCATAAAGAATTGCAAAAAAATCCTACCGTCTCGTCAAACAACCTCTATCCAACAACCGTTGTTTGATGGGTCATCTATCGAAGAATAGTTGTTCGATAGGATGTTAAACTTATGATTTTGAATGATCGAACTTTATTTGTACAATTTTTTATTAAAAATGTATTATTTCTAAAACAAAAATCGCTTTATGTACACTAGAATCTTCTAGGTTATCCATCTACGTCTATTTGCAACACTAAACATATGGTCTGAGTGGCCTGGAATTAATGGTCACGAGTGGTCCTTGAGTTATTGTCAATGTAGGGTTATAATCACGTAGGTTCACAATTGCGTCATCTAATCACTATTAAGATTTGGCCGCACACAGAAAAGCAAGCACTGTGCACATGAATAGTGATGGTTTGTGCCCGTATGAACACACGAGCATATCTTTTCATGATCGAAAACTGAGCTTGCATATTTTAAAATTAACAAAATTATCATAAACGTTTTTATGGATCCCTGTATCATTGTCTAGTTATTATTATAAAAATAATTTATCGTAAATATGAGTTGTCTTGTTAAGCCTAAAACTTAGACATATTCCATCGTAAACGACCTTAGCAGCTCGGTTGTGGTCTTCCTCGGCAGCCAATACGGATTTCTCTGCCTCGTAAAAAAAAAAAAGTAATACCGACTTCTACCTCACGTGGCAGAAAAAACAAAGGACACTGTTTCTGTTTATGTTTGTGTTTGAAATAAAATATCACAAAACTGCAATTGTTTGGTCGCAACTTGTATCATCTACTTATATGCCATCACAACCCACAACATCATCTAGTGTCTATAGCATTTAATATATTGCCGCATAAGTAAAAATCTGATGTGGCTTAAGAGTTAATTAGGAGAGAGGTAAAAAGATGAAGAAACCATTTCTCATGAAAAAAATCATCTCTACACAAGAACCAAGATTGAAAACAGAACCAAGATTGAAAACAGAGTATAGGTGGATAAAAGGAGAGAGAAGAGAGGTGAAAATTACAATAATAACAAACTGTTTTATTAAAAATACTCCCTCCTTCCAAAAGTTTTGGAAGTTTCTGTTGATCAGTTCGTATTTGGCGTATAAACATGCATGCATGGATTTGTTAAACATGCATGCATGCAAATCCATCCGTTGCCTATTTGCACTGCAGCTACACCTCTTTGTTTTTAAGCAAAGCTTGATGCAGCTGCCATTGATCGATCCATCCTGTGTCGTTCTATCCACTACATGGCCTCTGCTTGCAGCGATCCACTGCAGTGATCAATAGGAAGGATGGAAGAAAGGCTCGGGCACTGCGTGAGCTGGGCACCGGATTCCGCCGAGGCCGACGATGAGCATGATGGCAAATAGCGGATCCAATTTGCATGCATGCAATTTCGTTCGAGTGGGAGAGGGAGGGAAGGCTCCACGCAATTTTGGCTGCTGGCGAGGGCGAGCACGCACGGACGCGCGCGACGGGCGAGGGAGGACGCGAACGGTTGCGCTCGCGCGCGGGCATGGACGGTTGCGCACGCACGTATCGCGAATCAAGCGAAGCGTCGCTTCCCCCTAAATCCATGCAGATGCAGCGATGGTTAAATGCATCGGAGGGGTTCCTTGGTCTCAGTGCAAACGTAATACGACTGGTACTTTTGGAAGGAGGGAGTAACAGTTGTGTTTGGTTAGGCTATGGTTTTTAATAAAGCAACTCTGGGCTATGACTTTTTAAAAAGTAGCTTTGCAAAAGTAGCTGTGAGAAAGCCAAAAGCTATGGCTTTTGGAAAAGCTTCTTCCTAACGAGTAGACCCCGCATGTCATGCACACAGGTATTTTTCTCTTTCTCTTGAGTCTTGACACAGGAAGCCAGGGGAACGCCGCTCGTCGCTGGCACCGTTCGCGTACTCCTTGCCGTTTGCCGCGCCGCCGGCCTCGTGCTCCTCCGCGTGGAGAGCGGGAACTCGCGGGCGAGCGTGCCGAGACGGAGCGACTGGGCGGCGGCGGCGGCTTATCGAGGCGGCGCGGCGTTAGACGGGGTCGGCGTCGGGCGGGGAGGAAAAGGGGCGGCGCCGGCGTCGGGCGGGGAGGGCGGCGGCCAGCCGGCCGGAGGGCAGGGGCGGCCCACGGCGCCGGGAAGCGCCGCTTGATCCCCACTGTTGCGCCCGTGTGAGAAGCGAGAGGAGACGAATAGATTAGCGAACCGTTTTTTCATAATGGTATAGGTGGGTAATTTTCTCCTCCAAAAATAGGGGTAGAGGTGCTTTTGATTTGTACTACGTCAAAAACTAGCTTTGGGCAAAAGTAGCTGTGGCTTTTAGACTCTTTGGTTGGTTTCTGACTTTTGCAAAAGCAGGTTAAAAAGCCCAACCAAACATATGTCAATGAACCCCTATCTTCATTTTAAGCGGACTATTGGACGATGTAATTACCGAATGATATTAATAAAGCTCGCCATTAAGACCTTCAAAAATTCACAGCACCTTCGACGAATTTTAACCTTTTTTTTTGTTTTTGCGAAAAAGGGTAAATTTTACCTCAGCCGCAATGTTGCAGCAAATGCATTCGGATAATTATGGATTGTTTCATAATATTACATAACATAAAGGTAGAAAGCCAATGATTACCGGTCAAATGTCCTAGGATAGGTAAAATGTACATCTTCCACTTTCACAGATTCTGAATCTATACCTTTGCAAGTTTACCGCATACATTGTCGTTGCAAGTGGACATTTTTCCACAACGTTCTGTAGTTTCATCATGTATTTACTTACTACACCACCATGATGGTGCACTCTACCAGTCTATCACTGTATCGTACGTGTGCCCTCGATCGTAACATATCCACACCCACAGGATCGATATTGCTTGCAATATCACTGTACTATTAAATACAACGAACAACAAGAAATAACCAAACTAAGGTACGTACTTTGCCCTCAGCTTTGTGTAAAGTACTCACTATTTGCCGGGTCCATGACTCATGAGCTGCTGCTCCTCAGTCTCTGCAGCCTTTCCAGATGAGACTTGAGCCAGGCAAACTCATGTTGCATCATCTCCAGGTGACTCTCCGCCATCCGCATCTCCTCGCCTAATAGGTTTAATCTCTTCTGTACCCACTCTATGCTCTCTTTGCTATAGGAGAAGCCGCTTGGGGAGGTCTCTTGGTTAACCATATACACCTTGGGGGATCTGAGTAGTAGAACTATGATGGTTACCTGCAATAGATGTACAGCGCCAAATGAGTTTGGTAGAAGATAACAAAGGATATTGTGAATTAGTCTACTTTGTTTTAATTTCAAACCTTTTTTTGTTCGGGCTATTGAGTTCTGCAGTAACTAGCAAGACTAACAGCATTTGGACCAGGGAATCTAAACTATAATATGTATGTAATCAAATAGGTAAAGGTACTTGCCTGCAATAGAACGATGATGGCTACCAGTGTCAGTGCTAACACCGGCCCGAGCTGACTTGACTGTATATATGACAAGAGTGAACGCCAAAGTTCTTGTGATGTGGATATTATGGAATCCCATACTATACTTTGTTGGTGATCATGAATAGAAGGAACGATGCTTCTCACAACAGGTTCATCAGGTGCAGAACTCGAGCCTGGATCTGTGTTTTCCAAAGGATTCTCACTACTGAGAGTAGTCCCTGATGGATCATCAACATTAGTTGAGCTGGAAGGTCCTGAAAGAATGGACAGAGAAAATGATCAATTTACTGTTTCAGAGTTTCGAATATTTCATGCAAATGAGGACGTAATTTGGATCAAACAAGTTAGAACTGTAGGGAAAGAGCAAAGGACTGATGCAGTGAAGTGGACATTCAATTAACAGACCTCTCGAATGACAGCTGCTATCCTGCTTCAAAAGATCATGACCCTAAAAAACATGACAGGGAGGATCACTTAAGATTCAAATTGTAAATAGCTTTGTAGTAATAATGTTCTGTGATGAGAAAACACATACGAGCTTGACCCATAGCCCAAAAACATCACGGCATTCATCTTTTGTTGATTGATCAATCTTCCCTGTAATTTTGATATTTAAAAAATGAAAAAGCAGCAGCAAGTTAAGTTGTGGTAGATGAAACAAACTGATCTTTTAAGGGGGTAGAAATAAACAAATAACACTGCCCCCAGACATGCAAGAATAGCTCAGAAATAACACAAATAAGTAAAATTCTAAATATGGAATGAATTTGAGTCAGAACTAAGCAAAATATGGTTGTTCACTAAATCTGCATATATACATTTAAAAATGCCACTATAAAGAATTTAAACGTCTCAAACTGCTGGAGCGTTCAGGAATCAGGATATATGGGGTGTATCACCTCTAAATATGGTTTTCTTTGAGAAGGCTACATTAATATATACCCTGAGGTAGCAACTGCTTTCATCCAGGCTGTCTTGTTCAACATCCCAGATCCCCTGTTTGAAGAATAAGGAACAGTAGAAACATCATTTCAGTATCTCTACAACATCATCTTATGGTTTCATAAAAAAAAGTGATATGTTCCCATTGTAAAATGTAAGGAAGCTGGAATTCATTTCCATGGCAGTGCTGGTCACAAAACCCGTGCCTAGTTCTCATATGGTCAAGCTTTTACGTTAAATCTGTAACTTCTGATGTTTGATTATTTTGATCTAGGCGCACATTTGTGCTTTTATTTTGCTTAATTTTGATTCAAACCCACCACAAATTGACCCTTAGTTGGGAACAACCAGTTTATATGAAAATAAGGAGAACAACCAGTTCTAGAGAATTTAAACCATCCATCTATGGATATAACAGGAATGATTGTCTGAAAAGAAGTAATAATATTTTGGAGAGCAGATCATATACTCATCCACAAAGAAAAGCCACCATACAAAGTACCATATTTCCAGTTGAAGTTTAGTAGTGCTATATGATTTAAAATCCCAAATACATCCAGTCAACAGTAGTTTGTTGGGGAAAGTGGATTTCAAGCAAGATGAACCAATACTGACAACCGAGTTCCTCACCTCAACAGTAAAATGGTCCCCATATGGCGCATCACCAATTTGCTGAGATGTCTGAATCATGAGATGCCTTTGAAAAGGTAAACAAGAAAATTAAACATCAGGAGAGTTTAGCATCAATTATTCTTCAGAGAACATATAATTTCTTTTAGCACACAGTCACCAAGGTTGGGCATTTACATTGCCATTTACTGCAATAAACCATAAAGGTATGGCTAATCAAGCTAACATATAAATGAGAAATAAGAACACACACGATTATTTTGCTATGAGGCTCAGATATGATCCACCAACAAGTTGAGTGTGACCAACAAAGGGCGAAAATGAAACAAATGTTAGTGCATCTCAATGACTTCAAAATCCTCAACATTTTCAGAAAACTCCATTACTAGGTGTAACCGTGCAAAAATAGAGGAAGAACCTAACCTGTTTTTGTACACACGAAGTTTCTGAACCTCCTGGCAAGACCCAAATTTTGCACCTAAGCACAATATAGAAGAAACAAAATAGATGTTACAAAAGGATAATACAAATAAAAGCACGTGACATACTCGATGAAAACTATTACATTCAGAAATGGTAGCAGAAAGCTCTTGACATACCAAGATAAATTTTAATTGGATGCAAGAATGAAACATCCCTTATAAGTCCTCCCTGTTCATCTAAACGCCAAGGGGAACAACGGAATTCTGCAGCAGCTCATCTTAGGTCCCACTAAAATATATTATTGACCGGAAAGTGCTGATTGAAAAGCGTAACACTAAACAAAAACTAACCTTTGTCACCACATTTTTTGTGGAAATCATCCAAAAAACCAAAAGAACTATCTGACAGTAACATATTAAAGAGAACCTCCACAGGCACCTGCTAATTAAGAATTTGTATTGTGATGTTCTGTTATTAATTATTAGTACTTAATAGCGCTCGAAAGTAAATTTAAATCTAGCTAACCTGAAACTTTGACTCGGTGATCAACGCAAAGGGTTCGGGAACTGCAGAAAATAAAAGGTGCAATGAACAATTATTAAAACAATCATGTAAGACAAGCCCAGCAATATAATTTGTGATAACATAAGGGATAAAGAAAAGGATGATTCGAACAAACCATTAGGAGCTTCATCATCAAATGGCCCCAAGATGAATGGATTAAGTGCAGTAGCAGCAGTACATTTGTCTTCACTTTCATTTTCTAGCACTTCTGAAGATCTCTTGGAAATATTGACGTCCGAGTCACCACTATCATTACTACCACTTGTGACAGCTGTACCATTAACAGATCTACAGTCCAACAAGCTCAAATCAACATTCATAAACAATCAACAGAAAAACAGAAAAGTCCATTTGATGGAACTTAATCAAGGAGAGAATTTTGTTCAAGGCAAAAGCTACCTGTCTAATGGTGATGAATCATCATCTTGTTTAGTTTCCTTTGCTCCTTCCAACAAAACATAACCATTTTCATCACTGCTGTTTCCTGACTTTGCATCCTATAGTGCAGTAGAAGAGCAAATACAAACAACTTTTCAGATATGAGCTTATTGATAACTCTTGCACTGCACTCAATGTCAACAAATAGAAGTTACTATAGATGCTTCATAACCTGGCGTTCAAGGAGCAATCTAGCATCACTGACATGCTGTTCCCAGCCCTCTACTATAATGCGAAAAGCTTCATCGCGTGACAAGAAAGATCCAAAGAAGTGCTGCAAGCAATGCACCTTGAGTGAGATAGATCTGGCATAACCACATAAGGAATCAAGACAGTGATAGGTTCCTCACCCTTTTTGTACCGGCAATAATTTCGATGGCATTATGAAAAATAGCAGCTGTTTTTGCTTTACGTACATCAGTCACTTCCTGCAACGGAATAGTTTTCTGAAAAAAAAAGGAAAGATGAAAGTAGAAGAGAGTTGTAGTCAATAATCTTTTATAGCAGTACGAGCAACGCATCAGTATAACATTTTTGTACATATGCCGCTATAAAATATTTAATGAGAAATAGCAGCATAAAACTATTGCAGACAAATTAATGAAATTAATCAGATGATAATCATATTGTAGCAGCAAAATTAACTTTATTGGTCAGCCAATTAGGACAAAAGCAATAATTAAAACAATTTTGTTGGAGAGCAATCCTTCATTTCCAGTTCAATTTAGCTCACCAAGTCAGCTAATAAACAATGTTCCACTTGCAGGAAGCCAACATTTAGGCATTAATTACAATCAGCACAGAGAAAATGGAAATTACTAGTGGGAACAACCACTAGCTCATGCTTCAAACAGAGTAACAGGGTTTTGATGGACATGTGGCCTTCCATATGCTAAGTGTTTAACCTACTACAGAAACTATATGAAGACAAAGCATAACAGAGTAGAATGCCATTTATGATGGTCCATCAGCAACGCAAAATATCAAGGCAAGAAAACTTCAATTTAGATAACACAGTTCCAAAAAAAGGAGCAACTATTTTAAGGACAACATTTCTTCAGCTCAATTTATTGCAACAGAATGTGTCAAACAATACAACACAACACAGAAGATATGACATCAACCAGAATCCACTATGCCTCGATAATAATGTGTATCCGAAAAAAAAATGTTCGGTAATACACTTCTTAAAGTGCAAGTGCGACTGAACAAGCTAAAGGAGCATATATGATGATTGCCTTCTGATCATTCATTACCTTGGTCTCATATCCAAAAATGTTAGAGTAGAAGCATATATGGTGTAGAAATAAATACATATGACCCTGCAGAATAATGTATATTTGTTAGAATCTGAAAATCGTAGATAGTGTTGAAGGCCTGAAACTAAAGCCTATTTTTTTATTTACCCTGCAAAATAATATAACCAAGCTCTATCATTTGCACAGGTCAAACAATGGATTTTTTAGGTGCAAAGCACTGGCTAAGGACAGTAGTGAAACCAGATTGTCTAATAATGCAGTAGTTTGAACTCTGAAACTAAGTAATGAAAGAAGGAGTGTCATTTGCAAGACAGCAAGGATGATGGACAGTAGCACCCTTAATTGCAACAAGTTAGATACATTCATCTAAACTTGTTCGGTGCCTAGATTAGAAATCAATCTACACTATTATTGTATTATGAAAAATATGGATTAGATCTTAGTGTTAAGCCTTTCCATATGTCTTTGCACATGCTTCTCTACATCAAAGGCATAAACTTGAATTAGAATTGGTGGTGCACATGTCTTAAATCAATACAAAGCAAATCCAAACAGTGAATCTACCCTCGAAACTGCAGGGCCAACACTTGCCATGTGTATTATATCGAAATCAACTTTGGTATAGGTGATTTATGTGTGCTTGACCTCAAATTGACTCTGTTCGTGAGTGATTGACAGCTGTGAACACAGTATGAACAACCAGGTTATCATTTTATTTCTAAAAATGTGACAAGTTGCCTTTGGTAACCCTGTCCTTTAGTTCTGCAGGCAAGCAATGCACAAAAGAATTTTCTAGATGCTGCTGTGCTCAATGGGGTGGAATAATAAAATGCAGGCAAAAAGGGAAGTATGTATTGTTGTATTTGTAACAAGTATGAGTTAATAGGTATTTTGGCCAAAAGTGTCAACATAAATGCCAGCAGCTTGTCAATATTCACAGGGTCACGATACAAGTAAAATAGATGTTTAAATTTTGCATATTTTGGAAAGATTCTTTTTAAGCCATAGGTGATTCTCTACTTTTATTGTCTAGAAAACCTGTGTTACGAATCAAGACTTAAGTTACAAGAAGTAGCACTGAATGATGTCATATAAGAACTACCTGAAGAAGAATATTTTCTTGGAGCGCACAATTAAAATCTTGCACAAGAACCTGCAATGCACAAATACTACCATCAGGGATAATCATAAGTGATATAATAGTTCATCAAATTACTGTTCAATAAAAAAATGAACTTGGCATATTATCTTGATATGGCATGCTAGGTCGACCCACAATTAGAGTCACTCAAATTCATTTATCATCAACCAAATGAAGTCATAAAAAGAAGTTCATGAAACTACAAGCTGGCTACAAAATCCCACAATTTCGGCAAGCTTCCACAAAATTTAGTCACAGTTCAACCATCAACTCCGCCACACATTCAATAGACAGAACCGAATCGCCACAACCTGATGCCACTATTCAATAGAAAATGGCTCGATTTGTCATGATGCGCCATGTTCCAAAGCAAGTACAAGCAATGAACAAGTCATGATGCGATTTGTCAAGGAAAAATGACCACGGCACAAAAAGTCAAAGTTCACCGAATCGAACACCCAGCTCAACCACTGGAGCACTCAAAATTCCCCGCAACAAAAGTATGTCAATCCAGGGTCGTCGAGGATCAGATCGATCGAATAGATGAAGCGAGAAGCAGCGATCAAATCAAAATTTTACCTCGTCGGGTGGCAGGCGAAACAAAAGCCTGTACTCCTCGCTCCTGCTCGCGAGCAACGGGCTCTGCATCAACGAACCAAACAAACCCACACCGCGTCAGAAACCCCCACCAACCAGTAGTAGAAGCGTAGAACCAAACCCAAACCCAAAATCGAGGCGATATTCCGGCAGCAATCCCCGACACGGGAAGCAACCGACCCACCCACCGAGGGGTCTGGCGTGGCGGCGAGCTCCCCGGACCGCGCGGACTCCGGCGATGACGCGTCCACCGCGGGCGGCGCCGAAGCGAGCCGCCGCGGCGGGGAAGCCGGGGAGGGCGCGGTGGTGTCGGCGGCGGCGGCGGGGGGGCCCCTGCTGGGGGTCCGGCTCGGGGACGCGACGGCCGGCGACGCCATGCCCGCACCCCGAGGGGGGGAGGGAGAGGGGGATACGAGGGAGGGGAGGCAATCGTACGCCGGCGGCGGCGAGGTGGTGGTCGCCGGGGAGGAGGGGGGAAGAGAAGAGTAGGTGGAGTGAAGGGGGAGGAGGAGGAGAGAGAGAGAGAGGAGGGGGGGGGGGGGGGTTTGAATGTGAAAAAATAAAAGCGAGGGCGGTGTGAAGTAACGCCGCGACGGTGACGTGTTCGCGGGCAGCCACCCGGGCACCCGGCGTGTCGGGGTGCGTGTGCGCTCCGTCGTCGGGTCGGGTTGGGTGGGTTCGGCCGCTGGCGACTTGGAGGGGGAGGGGAGGGGGGAAGACGGAACGGAAGGGGAAGTGAAATACTACCGGCAGCTTCTATATGCTTCTTTTTTTTTCGTTCTTTCTACTATATGTATGTTGCCATTTGTTTGTTTGTTTGTGGTATATAGCAGAAAATCTATTATTACGGCAAGATAATAATACTCTCTCTGTACTTAAATATTTAATATTTAATGTTGTTGACTTTTTTAAACATATTTAACCGTTCGTCTTATTTAAAAACTTTTTTGAAATATGTAAAACTATACGTATACATAAAAGTATATTTAACAATCAATCAACTGATAGGAAAAGAATTAATAATTACTTAAATTTTTTAAATAAGACGAACAGTCAAACATATTTTTTAAAAGATTAATGGCGTTAAATATTTAGAGACGGAGGGAGTACTATTACAGAAGAGCTTTGTTATTTATGCAATGTAGTACGCCACCCTATAATATCCAACGTCTTACTTGCTATAAAACCTGATTATGTAAGATTAAAACATGATTATGTACCATATAATGTCGATACAATCCCAGTATCCCACCGATGATACAAATTATTTTTTTATGGATTTCCCTACAGCACTAAACAAAGAGTCAAGTTTATTATACGAGAAAATAAGTGTTTGCCCTTCGAACTTGATCGATTCTCTCATTTTGCTATCATCACACTCTAATGCTCCAACAATTGAATATATTATTTAAATATATCGTAATGCAACATTCTTTGATTTTTTATATGGCATGAAACATTAAAATGAATACTAAGTTTGTACTCCCTGTAGTCACATACCACACGAAAATATTAAATGGCATATGCATATGCTACTACCTCTGTTTTTTTTTTTGAAAGATGACGCCGTTGACTTTTTATCAATCATCTTATTTAAAAAATTTACGTAATTATAATTTATTTTATTGTGAGATGTTTTATCACTTAAAGTATTGTAAGCATGATTTATATCTTATATATTTATATAAAATGTATAAAATGTTTAAACAAGATAAATGGTCAAAGATGAGTTCTAAAAGTCAACAGCGTCATCTATTAAGAAACGGAGAGAGTATGTTTTAATATTCCATCCAATCATAGATAAGTGATATTTTTGGATGCGTAAAATGAACACATTTAAACTAATTAACCCTATAAACTTTGACCATTGATTTTATTTAAATATTTTAATTCAACTTTTAAAAAGTGATATGGTATATTCGTTTATAACTTCTTTTACAATAATGTATATTAACCTTTAGTGTGAAAATAATTTGTAATTTATTTATAATTATCAACAAGTTTCTTGGAACATACAAAAGTAATACACTATGGTAAAATCATCTTTCCACCCATCTCCTAATGATGACAGAGAACTAACAGAAAGAGCCAATAAATAAAAGACAAAAGCTGAGAATGAAGGATATAAATGAAGTGCTATTTAGGAGGGCAAATAAGAGAATCCGCCAACTTTAAAAGGCAAATAAATATTCTTTTTTATTAATTTATCTTCACTCAGAATACATATGCAGCCCATGCAAGTTCACTGCCTTTTTTGGTTCCTCCACTGATTCATTATCAACATCACATAGCCATTATAACTACCATGTCACCATTGTTTTCAGGTGTCACCATTGTTTTCAGGTATAGGGATTGAAATATCATATATGCAGACAAGCATGGACCTCGTTCACTATCCCTACGTGAAAGATTTTTTTTTTCCTTTAGGCAGGGATCGAATTATCCGATTATAATATAATTTGTTATAGATGCACAATGGAGTGTATGGTTTTCTCTTTTCTTTTTTTATTTTTACCTAGGCTACAGCTGCACAATTTCAGTTGTACCTTGCAGGATTTATGTTGAGTTTTTTTTAAAAAAATCACTTCCTCCAGTTCCGTAGTTCTTAACATTTTAGACAAGGTTAAGATCAAAGATTTTATTATTAATAATAGAAAATTATAGTTAAGATCTGTTTTGGTGATTGTGCCATTGTTCTAAACGTAAGAATTTTTTTTTCTTATACACTCTAAACGTCAAAAGTATGTAACCAAAGGGAGTACATACATTTCTAACAAACTGGATATTTTATCAACCAGCTAATAAATGCCTTATCGGCTATCGCAATGTGTTCTCAACCACTGCATCGCCGTGCAAAGAAAATTGGGACAGGGACATGTCCTTAGCATACAGTACAGATAAGGCAGGCTTCATTCATGGTCAGATTAGTATCAAAGCACGGACAGGCAAATCCTCAAACCAGCATAGAATATCACTAGCAACCACGCCACTGACAAATGAAAAAGGACAATTAAACTTCCATCTTGCCCGGTCACCCTAATACTCTATATCCGCATGCGTTGCGTTCATGCACGGTCGTAATATATATTATCAGAATTAATTAAATGCTCCCCTAATCACACATCACGTCGCACTAGAAAACAGTTAACGAATGATGATACTGATGACTATAGTGATGTGGTAGCAGTAAACAATCAACAGGTTGCAAAAAAATAAACATAAACCAGATATAAATATGACATATTCTAGTACAATAAATTTAAACAAACTTCTATCTAAATTTATTATATTTGAATATGTAGTATTATATCTGTATCTTAAGCTGCCCGCACGCTACGGCGATCGGAAAGACAACCAAAGACGAAACGTGTCGGTTTGGGCGTTTTTTTGGTTTTTTGGAGGAGAGGAGAGACACGCCAAGGAACGCATGGAGCGGCGGGGCCAGGGCAGGGCGGCAGTGGCCGCGAGCGCGACGGCCGGCCGACCGGTCGGTCGGTCCGGCTTAAAAGCGACCGGATCGAGAATGAGAGGCTGTCCCGTGGGCCCTCGCTACTCGCCCAAAGAGAACAGAAGGCGTATGACCGACCTTTACGTCGTCTTTGTCCTCCTACAAAACACATGCACATTGTACATTTGTACCTCTTCCGTTTCATTTACTTTTGGGATTATCAAAAAGTCATTGGATGTAAAACGGAGTCAAACTCAAAGCCTGTTTAGATCAATTTGCTACGGTAATTTTTTTTTTTAAAGTTTGGTGGCAAAAGATTTGGTATTATAATTTTACAAGTTGGTGTTTAAATGCATGGTAAAATTTTGCTATTAATTGCTGCTGCCTCTCTCATACGCGGGTCCAATGCTTTTTGGCCAAATTTGCTACTATTAACTCTCAAATGACAAATGTCAACTTGTCTGCTTTTTGCTATTAGTGTTTAGATCCATTTTACTAAAAAGTGATTTAAAGCGGTAAAACTTTTGTTATTTTGGATGATCTAAACAGGCCCTCAGTCGTATTTTTCTCAATCGCCAATCCATACCATCTTTTTAGGTTTTAAAATAATTGATACCACACATTTATCAATATGGATCTAGATCGAGATTATACATCCCACTCGATCAGGAATTTTTTTGTCATCATTACCCTGAACAAGTTGATTTGTATTGGTATATTATACACCCCACTCGACTAGGGGTTTTTTTAGTCATTTTACCTTGAACAAGTTGATTTGTTTTGGTTGATTACTTGATTATACTCCCGAAAAAAAAAGAAGATTACTTGATTATACATCCTATACTATACTAGGCGCTTTTTGACCATTTTACCTTTGAACAAGTTGATTTGTAACGGAGATTCTTCGTAAGGCTTCTCGTGGGACAAATTAACAAATATCTGAGGAATTTCATTATTTTCATACGAATTCCCTTTAATTAATATTGTCACGTAAAATTCCAAAGGACCCTCGACATTTATTTTTCTAACACAGATTATAGACAACTTTTGATTGCATATGTTAACATTAGCTAATCGGTTAGATGTTTCTTCGCGATAAAAAAAACATCAGTTAGCTGTTCACATTGAAATGATGGAGTCATGGGGATGAGTCTTATGCACCAGGACTTAAGTCCTGATGTCTTTAAATTTTAGTGCTTCCAACCAAGAACATATAGGCATTCTATTTGTGGTGCAATGTATTCAAAGAACTGTACTTAGTGATGTTTCATATGGAATTCTCCATGGTATCTTTCATTTTATTGTCCCAGAGATATCAGAAATGTATTCCAACTCAGCAACACTTTACTCAGTTCAATCTTTGATTGTATGCAACCAAAGGTTCACATATGATGCTCTGTGCAAGCTCAATTATATTCAATATAATCCTTACACGTGTTGCATAACTTAGAAAATAGGGCATCATGTAGGCAATTGTCAGAATGACACATGATTAAGCCAATCCAAAAGAAAAACACAAACACTGCTGAAAGTATATATAGCGAATCAAATTATTAGAACATACATTATTATTAAGTAACAAAAGTAATGGATGGCAAGTTTCACCTAGTTTCTTCACCATCTCCTCTCAGTTTTGCTTTCTTTTTCCTGTTCTCCCAGAGGCCCCAAATGACCAGAGCGGGAGAGGCCCCTCCTCTCCCAGGGATTATGGCGGCCAACATTTCACCCATGGCAGGAGAGCAAAAAAACTGTGGTGGGAGAACAAAAAAGAGTTCATCTTTTCTTCTCCCCAGTACTAGAAATAGGACGATACTTTGACGTGACATCAGATTACTGAGTGATGTCATTGTCAAACTCAAAGAGTCACCAAGGGGGATGATCCTGTGGCCCTTATGTGAAGAGTCACCTTTTCCCAGACTAAAAATCCTCTGATGGCACTTGATACAAGGGTGCAAAAAGAGTCGCTAAATGATCTTAGAAACAACCTTTGATAAGTGTGTTTCACCCTGAAAGGAATGGTTAATCCTAACTATGCACCTTCATGATATAATAGAAGAGAAATACAAGAGATTGGAGCAACTTTAGTTCCTCATATGAAGTTATGAACAAAACTGAAAAGCAATTGTTTGCTCTGACATGCTAATATTATTATTGATGTGTTTTCACGCTCTATTGTGCTTAATCTCCAGCAAATACATGAACTGTATTCTTTCGTGTCTCAAGCATTACTCAAAGGTCATACCTCATATAAGTTGCAGAATATCCAGGGACTGAGTTATTCTATACTTAGGTGTCATCTATCGTGCTTTGACTTCCCATATTCTGGGATCCTTATGACTAACTTTCTTGGAGTGAGTTATTTTCTTTTCCTTAGATGACATCTATGCTTTGACTTCTCATGTTCTGGGATACTCATGGACTAACTTTCTTTTTCTCTGGTTGCAGGTGGAACATTGCTCTAAGTAAACAAGGGTAATAGCATTTCGTTTAGTTGTTCAAAATTAGCATGTTTCAATCTTCTTGAACCCTGAAATCTGCGAGACTTTCAAAAATATTTGTAGCAGGAGATTCTTTCTCCTGCACATCAATGCAATAGATAGGGGTTGTCGATGGCATCTCTACTCAAACCTTGTTTCAGATGTGAGGACTTTTCCCAATTTCTGTGGGGGGAAAAGCATGTAAAAATTCATCAGTAACTCTGAATGTCTTCTCACTTTCAAGAACAATCATCTGCAACTCACTGAAACAGGGTCTGAAACTTCACTCTTCTTTTGATGCTGCCAGATCTTTCATATCCAATGCCTATCTTACTGTGCACTAGTTTGACAGCCAGATCAGTATTTCCTGCTTTTCGAAGTGCATTGATCATCATCGTACGAACTCTCCCAGGTATTTCACGTCCTTTCTGTACAATGCCATCTGCTAATTTGCAGGCCTGCTTGAATCTGCCAGCCTTACACAGCACATTGATCATATCCTCATGGGCCGTCTCTGGAATCACCCCCATTGGAGCAAGTTCATCCAATATCCTGCATGCCCGGCTGAATTTACCAGAAAGACAGAGCCCACTGGCAAGGGTCCTGAAAGCTGCAGCTGTGGGAGTAATTCCCTTGTCGATCATCGCGTCCCAAAACTTCAGTGCCTCTTCATTCTTGTGTTCCTTGAACAAACCATCAATGAGAATGGTATAAGTATACACTGTTTGATCACAGCCATCATCTTCCATCCGTTTATACAAGGCACATGCATCATCCATTCTTCCTGATTTGGCTAATCCATCAATCAGCACATTGTAGCAGTATGAATCAGGCACAAAACCTTTAGCAATCATCTCCTCAAATAGCTCCTTTGATTGGTCGACCATTCCAGCTTTTCCAAAACCATCTATCAAACTTGTATAGAAGATGGCATTCACTGCAATCCCCTTCTCTTGACAACTTCTGAAGCATGCAACTGCCTCATCTAGTTTACCAAAGCGGCACAAGCAGTTAACGATCACTCCATATGTGACTGAGTCGAGCTTAAGCCCACTATCTTTCATCCTCTCAAAGAGTGCCATTGCCTCCTTCTCTCTTCCAAATTTACCCATCGAGTCAATGAGTGCAGTGTATATAGCTGCATTGGCTGCGCAACCTCGCTTCAGCATCCTTTCAAACACAGCCATTCCCTCGAATGGCTTCCCATCCTTGCAGAGTGCTCCAATCACCAAAACATAAGCATGTTGTGGTATGTCGTTCCCCATTCCCCTCTCCTCCATTTCTTGGAACAAACCAATGCACACCGGAAACGTGCCTTCACTGTAATGGCACTGCATCAGTGTAAGGTACGTCACCTTGTCCGGTGTGAGCTTCGCCTGTTCCTGCATCTCGCTGAGCCGCGCCATCGCATCATGCGCCCTCCCGGCGCGGCAGTACCCCTTGATGAGAATGTTGTAGGAGACCACGTCAGGACGCACTTGATCCTCCGTGGACATTGCGTCGAACACGTTGACGGCGGTATCAAGAAGGCCAGCGTTAACGAGGCCGTCGAGAAGGCAGTTGTAGATCAGCCTGGAAGGCTCGACGCCTGCGAGGCGCATGGCCTTCCACGCCCACAGGAGCTCCTCGGCGAGGCCGAGAGCCGCGAGGCTGCGGATCAGAGACGCCGAAGACGACGGCGTGAGGTGCCGCAAGGCGGTGTCCCCGTGCGCGCGCAGCTCGGCGACGAGCTGCCGCGCGTGCGCCGCCGCGGCGGCGGCGTCGGGGGTGGCCTCCCTGGAGGAGGAGGAGGAGGAGTGGGCGAAGGAGCGGAGCAGCGAGACGTAGCAGCTCACGAGATGGTGCGGGTGGGAGAGGAGGTCGGCGGCGACGGCGCTGGGGAGGGAGCGGTAGAAGTGGAGCGAGGGGAGCGGGTTGGGGAGGAGGTGCGGCGAGCGGAGCGCGGCGGCGACGAAGGCCGGGGAGAGGCGGAGGAGGAAGGTCGCGCAGAAGGCACGGAGGTCGGCGGCGAGCGTGGCGGGAGGGGAGCGGAGGATGAGGGAGACGACGCGGGCGAGCCACGGCGACGGGGTGGGGGACGAGGAGGCGGAGGAGGCGGCGTACGGGCGGGGGTCCGAGAGGTCGGTGTACGGCTCGATCCACTCCGGCGGCGGGAGCGGCGGCTGGTGGGGGTGGCCGCCGTGGGAAGCGGCGGCCACTCGCCGGCAGAGCGGAACGTGACAGAATCGCCGCATTGGGGCGTGCGTGATAGGCAATTAGGAACCGGAGGAATATGTTAGAGCATCTCCAACAGTTCTCCGTCAAACTCTACAAGTTAAATTTTAACAACTTCAGCACAAAATAGCAGTCCAACAGACTCTCTACTCAAATGGCCAAGTTAAATGCCTGCCCAAACTCCTCCCCCCAAATTTAGCCATCCAATCAGAATAGCCAAATGTGGGCCCCACCATCTCTCTCCTCTCTCACCCGGAGAAAATTGACATTGTGCCATCCTCAAAAAGTGGGTTTCGCCCAAATGCCATGCTGGAAGTGGGCTTCGTTAAAATGCCACTTTCAACACATGGTTACACGCTAAAATACTATCTCGGACCAAATTACCCTCCTCTCATCTTCTTCCTCCCTCCATCACCATCAGCTCTCGCCGGCGGCCACCATCTGCCTTCGCGCGAGCTCTCCTCCATGGAGAACCACAGGCCACAGGCCCTGCGGGGACCCCTCCCATGGCTCCCCTCCCCGTGCCCCCTCCCATCCGCCACCATCCCAGCCCCGCCCTCCGCGAGCCCCCGCACCCGTCCCGGCCACCGCCGCCGTCGCCTGCACCTCCGATGACCACCGCGCCGCCCCTTCGCCATGGCCATGCCCACCAACGACTCCGCCGTGCGGGTGCGCCTCCGCCGCCTGGAAGAACGGGAGTGGCTAGGACGGCGGGTTGGCATGAAAGACAGAGACCGCCGACGTCGGCGTCGGTGGCGCGGATGGCGTGGAGCGTGACCACGGGGTCGTCGGTTGGGGACGGTCGAGGCGGGGAGGAAGTGGTGCGGAGATGGAGGCGGACGAGGCGGGGGTTGTCGGGGAGGAAGGGGAGCGGAGGTAGAGGCGGATGAGGTGGGCGTGGCAGAGGCGAGCCGGCTCGGCATCCCTTGTCAGAGGTGGAAGAAGGTAGTAACAGGGGTATTTTTGTCCGTTCGGGCATTATAGCGTGTAGTCTTCGATTGAAAATGGCATTTTAATAAAGCCCACTCCCAGCGTGGCATTTGGACGAAACCCACTTTTGAGAATGGCACAATGTCAATTTTCTCCCGCCCCCAAGCCGCCGCCCCCAGACCGCCGCCGCGCCGGCCGCCGTCGCCCCCAGGCCGCCGCCGCCGCCCTCTGCGCCGCCTCCGCCGCGCGCCGTCCCACCGCCGCTCGCCGCTACGGGAGGCTTAGACGGCGCCTGCCCCGTCGCGCAGCCGTCGCCCTCCGCCCACCCCGTCGTTCGCCGCAGCCGCGGCCTTCGCTCGCTGCAGCCGTCGCGCAGCCTCCGCCCGGCCCGCCGCAGCCCGGCGCCTCCGCTCGTCGCAACCGCGGCATTCGCTCGCCGTGGCCGTCGCCCCGCCTCCGCCCGCCCCGCCGTGGCCTTTGCTCGCCACAGCCGCCGGCCTTCGCTCGCCTTCGCCTGCCCCGCCGGTCGCCGCAGTCGTCGCCCCGCCTCAGCTCGCCCCGCCGCTCGCTGAGGCACTGCCCGTCGCCCCGCCTCCGCCCGTCGGCACGCAAGTCGTCGTCGCCGTTGCCGTCCGCCGTCGCCGCACCGAGATAGGTGCGCCAGTGGGGAAGGGGAAGTAGTACTGGAGGGAGAAGGGAGATGTAATATGGCCATGGGTGGGGAAAAAAAAGATGGAAGAAGGTATGTTGAGGCTGACATATGGGTTTTATTTGTCATTGACTTGTAATGGAAATGATAGATGGAGAGGCTGTTCGAGTAAACAAGAGTTTGACTTGCCAAATTAGATGGAGAGTTGGCCAAATAGACATTTGGAGAGTCAAAATTGGAGAGGCTGTTGGAGATGCTCTTAGTGATGGTGATGACTGATGAAACATACTCCCTCCGTAAAAAAAAAATCTGGACAGATATATATTCAGATTCGTTATACTAGATGTGTCATATCTATTACTAGGTTGATTTTTTATATTCACTACTAGGTTAGTTTTTTATGGGACGAAGGGAGCAAGGCTCTTGGAAATGCAGAATCGTCAATACCCGGAAAAGAAAAAAAACGTTAAAATAGATGCCATGTTTATTGGATTTTTATGAAATTTAGAAACATAGAAAAGTTTCAAAAATGTTGTTTGATAATCACACCGAAAAACCTAGGAATTCAAGACCAGAAAACATGAGGTAAGACCTCATACTAATTTTCCTACAAAATTTCCGTATAATAGTCCATTCCTAAGAATTTCAAACTGAATAAAATAATTATAATGCACGGGCATATAAGTAGTTGCTGAAAAATAGGACAAAGCAAAATAGAGAGTATAAAAGTGAGAAAAAAGAAAAGAGAAAAACTATAGAGAAAATATTATAGTTCATATATTACAATGTTAGCTTTTATATATGGGCTTATAGCCAGCATTTAGCTCTACTATTAAACTTGCTCCATGGGTGTGTTTAGATGAGCAATTGGAATTTGCTTTTCCTCGTACACAAAACGAAATGGATTATTGGTGTATGATTAATTAAATATTAGCTAATTTTTTTAAAAAAATATTAATATGATTTGTTTTTTTGAACTTAGTTATGGTGATGCACGGAGTTAGTATAAAATTTCCTATCTCTCTACTACTTTAAAAAAAAGACATATTTCCGTTAATATCTACTTAGTGATTGAGAAGGGTCTATTATGTGCTCTCATGCGATTAGCCCCCTCACTGTTAATATCTATTCACGCATTTACATTGAACTGATAATCGGACAAAATTGCAACTTGGCCTCTTTTTCTTAGCAAGATTTTATTTATTTTTATTATGCAGACAAATCTGGCACTTAATTTAGGGTGTGTTTAGATAATGGGAAATGGGGGGTGGGGTTGTGATTTGGAAATGAATGAAGGGTTAGTATTAAATGGAAAAGGGAGAATGAATGGTTACGATTTAAAGCGGCGCATCGAGCTTGTCAACGACGGACCGACCTCGGAGTTGCGGATGAAGCTCCCGTACCAAACGATGGCGCCGCTGAGCTCTCGCCATATCCGTCGGCTCTGGCCTTGGACGGAGGTGACATCTCGGCAGCGGTGGCGGCACATCGTCGGTGGCAGCCCGAATACGGCGTCTCGGCAGCATAGCAGCTCGACCGTCGCCATCTTCCCTTCCTTCCTTCTCATCTGACACACACATAGCCTCAGAGATAACGCAAAGCTCCGACACACTAACGAGGGTGCTTTGTTTGGCTCCGCGTTCTTCACTTGGTAGCGGGCGGAGCATACGTGGCAGGGAATCTGGCAGGGAATCTTTGATGTGGAAGCCCAACGAGATTGCGAATGGGCGAACAGTCGCGCGCCCCCTCCCCTGCGCGACTGGACGCGTGTCGCATGCGGAGAGGGGGCGCGCGGGCGGCGGCACAGCGCACGGTTTTTCTTCTTTTTTTCCCACAATTCCGCACGGTTTCCTCTCTTTTAGTTTTTTTTGTTTTTTTCTTTCCGCGGTTTTTTTGTTTGTTTTTTTGCCGCACGGTTTCTTTTTTTACTTTTCTTTCCGTATATTTTTTATTGTTTTATTTTTTAATACGTACATATACATATACAAAGTTTGTATATGTGTATTTTTATATGTACATGTATAAACTTTGTATATATACGTATATAAAGTTGGCATATTTTGTATACATACATATACAAACTTTGTATACTACGTATATAAACTTAATATATGTGTATATATTTTTTATAATATACATATGTCGGTGATATGGGACCGGGAGTATCATGACCAGAGGCTTGAGGCAGACGCAATTGCCCACGTGGCCTGGCACCTTCGGGGACGTCGGGCCCGAGGGTGAGGTGTCCGCCCTCCTCCTGATTTCCCCCGAGGGGGGGGGGGGGTTGCGCTTGCCCCGGCCCCGAGGGCCGAGGCACCCCGACCCCTTAAGGAAGTCTGCGACACATATATGGGATAAGTGAGCACAGCTGTGCTCACCTAACAGCATTTATTGCAGTCTGGTCAAGCGTGTCACGCTGCATGCGACGCAGTACAGCGCGTTCCTTTATCCGGTCTGTGACCAGTCACAGACCGGTCAGATCACGGGTTAGGTGGCGACTGGCGGTCTGACGCACGCCTTGCCCCATCCCGTCAAGACGAAAGCCTCTAGGCACTCGTCTCAAGCCGGAGCTAGCGTGTTATCTCTTAGAGATGGCACGTTAGCCCTGGTCAGATTTATACCAGGCTTCATCCTAACCATTACAGGCAAGGTGTTACACGAAGAAGGGCAAACATGCACGTTGTTAAACTGACGCGTGGTGGACAAGAATGACCAGTCAGACGCTGGTCGCGTCAGCAACGGGCAGCCACGATCCCACGTTGCGCCTGTCTCCGCCGGGAGTGGAGGTAGGTGTGGGCTGTCCCATCGAAGTGTCATTCGGACAGCGACCATACCAATCTCCGTCCATAAAGAGAAGAAAAGTCCAGTTTGGAAAGGGAAGGGTGCATGTGGTATCCCCTTGAAGTATAAAAGGAGGACCTTGCCCATAGAGAAGGGGTTGATTCTTTTCGAGATTGAGAGCCTAGAACGGGGGAGAAGTCGGCTCACACTTTGTAGCTCCTTCATACACAGATCCACCAAAACACAGGAGTAGGGTATTACGCTTCTCAGCGGCCCGAACCTGTATACATCGCCGGTGTCTCGCGTTCTCTTGCTAGCAGACAATCTTTCCACAAACAGAGAGAGCTTGAGATCTCACCCTAAGCCCCCGGCCGAACCGGCAAAGGGGGGCCCGCGCGGTCTCCCGGTGAGGAGCCACGAGCTCCGTCATCTGGCGCGCCAGGTAGGGGGCTCAGTGTGTGTTTTCTGAGCTCTCAGACTCTTCCGTGTGCGCCAAGTTTTTCTTGTTCAGCCTAATGGCCGAGCAAGGAAAAGCGCACGATCTCTCTCCGAGTGTGAGCGGCGACGACGGGGAGCCGAATCCACGCCGTCGAGCTCGTACTCCCCCACCTCCTCCGCGCCAAAGCCCTAAGCAGGGGGAGGCGCTTGAGAGGGTCGACAAATCCGTGGCATCACCAGTCGCAGGTGATGCAGGAGAACGGCGAGATGGGGAGCGTCGCCTCCTCGTCTACGGCGACGGCAGCACGCCTCAGGGTGCGCTTCAGGCTGCTAGCGCGCTCCTACGTCACCCACCCGTCGTCCATGACCCTGAGTCTCCAGCTCAGCGATGGCTGGACGACGTGGCCAACTTGGTCGTGACGGCCCAGCAGCGCCTGGGTGCTGGTTGTCACACCCCGAAGTTTTCCTCCCAAGCCAAATTGTAAATTACAAATGACCCCAAGAAAATGCAGAGGAAATCAGGATAAAACCCTAAGAAAACAATGCAAATAATAATCGGATTTGACATGTGGAATTTTTCTTGAATTCTACATGTCGAAATGCATTAACAGGATTTTTAGTGGAATTTTCAGAGCTCTAGAAATAATTTTAACCAATTAAAAATCACTAAAGTGCAATTTTTAATT